GTCACACATTGTGGTTGGAACTCTACATTGGAGGCCTTGAGTTTGGGAGTTCCAATGGTGGCAGTGCCACAATGGGCTGATCAGAGCACCAATGCCAAGTTCATCATGGATGTGTGGAAAATAGGGCTTAAAGCTCAAGCTGATGAGAAAGGGATAGTGAGAGGAGAAGAAATAGCACATTGTGTGAGAGAAATATTGGATGGGGAGAGAGGGGAGGAGATTCGAAAGAACGCTTCGAAGTGGAAAGCATTGGCCAAGAATGCAGTGGATGAAGGTGGAAGTTCTGATAAAAACATTGATGAGTTCATTGCAAAACTGGTTCTCAGCTAGGCTAGGCAAAGCTCTGGTGTATTTCTTAAAAATTGCCTAGTACAAAGCCCTCTTGGAAAATAACTGCAACTTAATGCATCTCTATTTTCTTTGTGCTTTGTTTTGCAATTTAATTCATGTGTATTGTCCAAAGCATCTGCAAGAGGAATCTCGGACTAAAAATCTCCAAAAGTCTACTTTTATATGTGTGGTTCTAATTCGAAATAAGAAGAGTGACAAAGACAATTGTGTGCATAATTTTCAACCCCAGCCCATCATACTTTGCTATCATACTTTGTTTCACCACACATACGTGTTGTTAACATATATCAGCCCCAGCCCATCAGTACTTAACCAAACCCAAGATAAACAACTTAGCTCACCCCATTTTGAGGAGCAATCTCTACAATATTCTAGAAGCACCAGAAGTGTAAACAACAAAGTGATAATATGGGTTACCACTAGAAATATCTAGAATAAAGGATATATGTAGATTAGTCTAGGAGAACATAAAAGCCCAAGTTGGTGAAGTGGAAAAGTACGTCAGCAGCTAAGCTTGGAGATTTGTCTGGAAGATAAACAGTTTTGTGACTATAGCCAAGGCGTGGGATAAGCATTGTATAATTAACCAATCAAGAAGTGAAGAGTGTGTCAATAAGAAGAGTGAGCAATAATCTATAGAGTCCTTGTGAGAAGTGTGAGTGTTCTAGAGTTTGTCTCTAGAAGTGAGAAAGAGTGCTTGTATGAGTTGGTCTTTTCTTTGAGAGTTGTCTTGTTGTAATTTTTTATGAGTCTAATCCAAGTCAATTGTTTACTTATTTTGTCTCTAATAAATCTATATTAGAGTTGTGTACTCTAATTTTCTCAACACGCATTTGGTTATATCGAGCAAAGTAAAATATATAAAAGGAGAAAAGGCTGGCTAGGCGAAGCACTGGTGTATTTCTGAAAAATTGCCTAGCTATAGCACAAGTCTTCTGGTGGAAAATAAAGCTGATAGGCTATGTAAGTAGACTCAACTCAAATTGTGTAATTTGATGCATCTCTATAATTTATTTGTGCTTGTTTTGCAATAGAATGCATGTTTTGTCCTTTGGGAGTTTGTCCAAAGTATCAGCAAGAGGAAAAAAGCCGAAACGTCTATAAAAGTAAATAAAAATTTGAGCGAAGCAATTTTTGTCATGATTCATGTTAAGGAACACCCTCATGACCTCATTAGATACAAGGACTTAAGTTAAGATAAACTTCGAATATAATACATGCAATTTTGTTTTCTTCATATGGATGTACACTATTTTGAATTATGAAATCTGAAAATTTAACCTTATGATTAGAAAAGTTTAGGGACATACGACAAGACCAAATCATGTATGCATATAATTTTCAAAGTGTTAGGTTAGGATTCTTAGAATTGACTTTTCTTGCCAAATGTACACTTTCATGTAATTCCTCTTAGCTAATCTTTAGAAATTAGGCCTTTGGTATTTGCTACAAAGTTGAGGTACATTGAAGAGCTTATGAGGCTACAAACCCAAAGTAATTTATACAGTCATTTGAAATAGGCATCATTAGGAAAATCAACATATGCATCAAAACACTTTATCTAGATGACTGGTCATATATGTAGGCCAAATACTTTCAACACGGGGATTTTTAATGAAGGCATGTGTTCGCTCATGCTAAAAGTTTCCCTATCCGATTTAAATATAATTTGGGAGAATTTGCATTTTTGATTTGAAAAAAAAAAAAAAAAAAAAAAAAAAAAAATCATCAGGTTTCAATTGGGTAATGAGCAATACTCTTATGACCACGTTCCAAGGCCTTAAGGTAAACTTCGAATACATGTAATTTTGCGAAATATTTTCTTCGATTATTTCCCATTCATTTACGCTATTCCGAATTATGAAGTATGAAAAGCAAATTATAATACAAAACTTTTTTATTAGAAAAGTTTAGGACACACAAGACCAAATCATGTGCATAATTTTCAAGGGGACGATTGTGCTATCTACTTTGTTGACTTAAAAAAGATAGTTACTTATTGGCATACTATCCCTTGGTTGGAGATGCTCTAAGCCACTAAAACAAGTGGACCACGCGAGAAATTTAAAACCAACACAAATGGACTCCAATTTTGGCGTATACCAAGGGTTTTGATTGGGGACAGTAGCCTCTACTAATCTTGCAAGTGTGGTTGGCTTCTGCACAACAAAATGGAGAAGAGAGAAAAAGCTCACTGCCTGGTTTTGTTCTATCCAATCCAAGGCCACATTAATCCCATGCTCCAATTCTCCAAGCGTTTACAGCACAAAGGACTCAAAGTCACATTGGTCACTACCCGCTCTGTTCACAAGGCCATGCATGGAGATGGAGGTGAAAAATCACCATCATCATTTTCTTCCATTGCATTGGAGACCATTTCTGATGGGTTTGATGGAGAAGGTGGGAGTTCCCAAGCAGAGAGCATCCAGGCCTACTGGGACCGTTTTCGGGAAATCGGCTCACAGACTTTGGCTGAGCTCATTGACAAGCTCTCTGCCTCAGGCCACCCTGCTGATTGTTTAGTTTATGATCAAATTTTGCCTTGGGCTCTTGATGTGGCCAAAAGGGTTGGGATTGCTGGGGCCGCTTTCTTCACTGTATCTTGTGCTGTTACCAACATATACTCTCTTGTCCATAATGGGCTGCTCAAACTTCCTCTCAATCCTGACTCTCAGATTTTGCTGCCTGGATTGCCACCTCTTCAACCTTCAGACACCCCATCTTTCATCTATGCTCCTGAATCTTACCCTGCTTTCTTTAAACTGTGTGTGGAGCCGTTCTCTAATCTTGACAAAGCTGATTGGGTCTTCTACAGCACATTTTATGAGCTGGAACAAGAGGTAATCAAAATTCATGGCATAAGTTTTATTAGCCAGTGCATGCCCAGGGAGGGTACCCTTACCCCTATCAAATGTTCTATTTTATTTTCGTGTCTATATTTCTTTTGAGTTGCATATATTTTGTTACTATATGAATGAATTCATTCCCTTGATAGGGAGACGCGTCAACAATACTGCTAGAGTCACTAAATTAAATTATCCCTCCTAGGAATTATTTATTTGAAGTCTCCAAAATTTAAAGACTTTTACCTTATACTTAAATTTTTAAGATAGCACTTTCCTTTTATGCATAGGCGGTGGATTGGATGGCAAAATTTTGGCCATTGAGGACGATTGGACCAACCATACCATCCATGTACCTGGATAAGCGTCATGAAGAAGACAAGGAATATGGTCTCAGCCTCCTAAATCCAAACAGTGATGCCTGCATGAAATGGTTAAATGCAAAGCCAAAAGGGTCTGTAGCATATGTGTCATTCGGCAGTGTGGCAAAACTCGGAGAAGAGAAAATGGAGGAACTTTGTTTGGGTTTGAGGAGAAGCAAATGCTATTTCTTGTGGGTGGTGAGGGCATCAGAATCAGCTAAGCTGCCAAAAGGGTTTGCAGAGGAGACGTCTGAAAAGGGTTTGGTGGTGTCATGGTGTCCTCAATTGGAAGTGTTGGCACATGAGGCTGTAGGATGCTTCGTCACACATTGTGGTTGGAACTCTACTTTGGAGGCCTTGAGTTTAGGAGTTCCAATGGTGGCAGTTCCACAGTGGGTTGACCAGGGCACCAATGCCAAGTTCATCATGGATGTGTGGAAAATAGGGCTTAAAGCTCAAGCTGATGAGAAAGGGATAGTGAGAGGAGAAGAAATTGCTCATTGTGTGAGAGAAATATTGGAGGGGGAGAGAGGGAAGGAGATTCGAAAGAACGCTTTGAAGTGGAAAGCATTGGCCAAGAGTGCAGTAGATGAAGGTGGAAGTTCTGATAAAAACATTGATGAGTTCATTGCAAAACTGGTTCAGAATTAGAACTAGCTAGGCAAAGCTGTGGTGTATTTCTGAAAAAAATTCCTTGTACTAGTCCTCTTGTGGAAAATGTTATTAGGGACTGACTAATAATTTTTAAAAGTCAGAAGTTCGTGTCTTCACTATTAAAATAATTATCATGTCTTCACCATTAAAATAATTATACATAATACTTTAAATTATACAAACAAAACACTTATTTATAGACGCCGTCATTGTCCAAGTCCCACCCGACTTGGCTATTAAAATATAACTATGGTTTGAATACTTTAGGCTAATTGTATTCTTTTTCGTAAGAATGTATATATAAGAGTTTACATGTAGTGCTTTACAAGGAAATAGATACATAAATTAAATAGGAGAATATCTCCTAATTATACAAGGATTGTCAACTATATGAAAAAAGAAAATAAATCTAATTGATTTGTTAGGTTAACTTATGTCAACATTGGCTTCTTCTCCTCACCACTAGTTCACAAGATTTATTTAGGATTTTCCAAGAATGCCTACAACAATTATGTCTTGAAAGCTTGAGCTTGCCTACTGTGTCAAAGTTGGTGTACATCTCTCGAGTTCTCTACATTTCTCTAGATTTTTTTAGATACAAATGACTCAAATGAGCATTAACTTCTAACCCAAAAAAGAAAAATGCAAGCGCAATTTATACACTAGGATTTTCAAGCGTACAATTAGTGAATCAGTCAACTTGAAAGAAGGACTAAATATAATTTAAGACAGGTAAATGAGTTCAGAAAAGCAGAAAACAAGAGCACAACTGTTACTGGCTAGGCTGAGTTCAACTTTTAAATCTTCGTGCGAACACCACCAAATAACGGACACTAGGAGCTCTTGGAAGGAAAAAACAAAAAGAAAAAGGAAAACCAAAACCAAAACCAGCTGCTGCTGCTATAGCTACATTGTATGAGTTCAAAACCTTAACAATGCTAGACTTCTTTGCAGCTGACCGGCACACCTCCAGAGGCTTCCCACAAAGTCCAGGATTGTTTGCCAAAGAGTCCGCTGTAATTGATGCATAATTAAAGTTTGGGACTTGGCCAGACAGCTGATTGTTGGCCACACTAAATGTTTTAATCCTTCTAAGCTGGCCAAGTTCTGGAGGAATGGTACCCGAGAACTTGTTGTTGTCAAGCTTCAGCTCATTCAGATAGCTGCAATTGGAAAGCTTAATTGGGATTGGCCCTGTGAAGCTGTTAGATGAGAGATCAAGGACCGTAACGAACGTAATGATTTGATCGATATCAGTAGGAAGAGGTCCATTGAGCTGGTTTCTTGAAAGATCTAACACTGTTAGGCTTGTGCAATTAGCTAAGCCCCAAGGAAACGAGCCCTTCAGTCCCAAATCCGAAAGCTCTTGATGATTAAAACCCTACTCTCATGAGAGTGCCAACACTCGATTCCCAGAAAGCTACAGATGAAACCTTGAGTGTTGTTGCTGAAATCCCAAGAGTTTAGGTTGCCCAAAGGGTCTTCAAGTGAGTGTTTTATACTTTTCAAGCAGTTGATATCACTCTCAACAGCAAAGCTGAAACTACAACTAAGCAGCAACCAGAGGACACTGCCTATAAAAATGCCAGCATCTTGTTTTCTCAACGACATATGCATCAAGAAAGCCATCAAAATGGGATAAAGGGCTAAAAGAAAAGAAGAAGAAAAAAGTGCTATTTAGTTCATGAAGCCAAAGATCAGAGCTAAAGATAGTAGTGAAGACCTGAAATTCTCTGGCTTTTTATAACCACTGGACATGAAAGCTCCCACGCGGTCAGCGCGTGCATTAAAAATCAAGAGTGGTTTATACGTCCAATGGTATATCCTGGCTCTCTTTGAAGGGTTTATGAAAGTGAGGGAAGGAGACGGGCTCATCGGGCTATTTGGAGGCCACTCCTTTCGTCGAAAGCTTAGGGACGACTTGGACTGTTGACTATTGACTACCCACAGTGTTCGTCTGCCCTTTATTTCCTTCTCTTTTCTTCTTTGCCGACCTTCATGAGATGACTCACTCATCTTAGAATTTTACTTGCTCAAACATGGAAAAAAAAAAAGAGAAGATAAAATACAAATCAAACTACTAAAAAATCCAATTAATGATCATGTGCAAATTATTAATCTTGTTTTCTCGTGATATATATACACACAAAGAGAGCATGTGTCTCTTGCTCCTCACACGATTAAAAGACATATACTCAACCAGTGTACATCACAAGTAGGAACAAAAAAGTTTTTCTCCATAAGCCCGTTTTGAGAAAGAAAGAAAAAAAAAAGCAATATAAAGCAAGCATAAGGGGTGCCACCATAAGAAATTAAGGGGCGCAGCGCAACTACACAACAAACTAATTAAAGAGCTCCCACGGTCAACACATGCATCAAAAACTACTCATGGTCAACAGTCCTTTGATGCATTATATATACTGTATACACACGATGAGATGAGAGTATGTTTCTCTTGCTCCTCACTCACATGATTAAAAGGCATACTCGACCATGTACTCACAAGGTACAAAAAAGAAATTCTCCAAAAAGAAGTCCGTAAAAAAAAAAAAAAAAAAAAAAAAAAAAAAAAAAAAAAAAAAAAAAAAAAAAAGAGAAAAGCAAAGCAAAAGAAGAAGGATAAGGGGGGGCGAAGGGGATAAGAAATGAAAAAATTTCTAATAAATCTTATGAGAACCCAAGTTTGAGAACTTAAGTTGATGACATATGTATAGAGAGAGAGTTTCAATTAAGGGATCCCTTAAATAAGGGACATCTTTGTAGGGTCCATCATGCATTGTATTTTAACGATCCAAATAGTCTAGTTTTTAAATATTCCCTCAAAAATCATCTCTACAAAAAATCACTTGAATCCGGAACCATTTGACCACTTAATTAGATGTCTTAATAATTTTCAATTTGTATGATTTTTTACAAGAATTGATCTATGAATGAAGATTTGAAAAATAAACAATTTGAATCATTAAAAAAAACACCTGTATGATATCCTAAAGGGTGTTCCTCAAATAAAATTATTTGAAGAATTCCTAAATAGAAGGGGAACATAAGAGAGAGAGAGAGAGAGAGAGAGAGGCACACATTGAGCTATTGGAGTTTATCTCAAAAGAAAGGGCAAAACCAACACCAAAACCAGCTGCTGCCACAATATATAAGTTGCAACACCATTCCTGGACCTGAAGAAGTTGACTTGCAAGGCTCCAATGAATCTGCACCAAAAACGAACTGTGAGACCGGCCCAGACAGAAGATTTGGGCCACACTGAATATCCAAAGCCTAGGAAGCAGCCCAAGCAGTGGAGAAAAGTGATGTGACCAGAAAACTCATTGTTATCAAGCTTGAGCATACTGAGCCACACACAGTTGGAAAGGTCGGGGATCTTCCTTGAAATATATTTCGACAAAAAGAAAAAAAAAACCTTGTATGTATTAATTATTCGCAACGACAATTTCATAAGAACTTAATTAATTTTTATGATGATATTTATAAATATATAAACCACCATTTAATACACTTCATCTAACTAGGGATTTGATGACGTTATAGTTAGAGTACCAAGCTGGTGGAATTCATCTTAAAAGAAAAAAATAAAAAGAGAAAACAAAACCAACAACAAAACCAGCTGCTGCCATCATAATATTTCCGTCATTGGACATGAAAACCCTAACCACACTCTTGGACTTCTTTTGGCAAGACTCGAGCGGGTGGCCACAGAGTCCAGGATTGTAGGCAGCAACAACAAGAGGACACTGCCAATAGAAATGTCTAGATGTTGTTTGCTCAACAGCACATGCCCTAAGAAAGCCATCAAATAAAATGGCTTGAAAAAGTTGTCACCCTATTCAAGCAAAAATGATTTCAGAGCTAGAGATATATTACTGAAATGAACCAGAAATTCTCCAGCATTTTAATTGATGCATGATTTCAGAGAAGGGATTCAATTTCAATACTGCGATGAAAGACTTTCTACAAAAAGGTTCAACGAGAAAATGGCCCTCTTTAGTCTTTCTACAGAAAGAGATGAAAGACTTCGACGTTCAACATGTAAATGACATGCAATTACGCAAGTGTGAATTAAACGTTTAAAAAACTTTCCTTTTTTTTTTTTTTTTTTTCTTTCGGTAAACAAATCCGATTGGTTTGATGAAAGTGAGAGAAGGAGAAGCTCATTAATGGGGTCATTTGAATGAGAAGCATTGCTATCCCACCCACTCACAGCATGTGATACATGATAATTTTTTCACTATTGTGATTGAGTGAGAATAGCAAAATAATAATATTCTCGTTTATGACGAAATTTAACAATAGCAACATCAATCTCGCAAGATGATTTGCACGGCTTCAGTGGGTCCTCACAGTCACAGAGTCCGAAATTGATCACATAACTCTGCGCTGCAATTGAAGCAGCCCCATAAACGAACTGTGGGACCGGCCCAGACAGAAGATTGTGGGCCACACTGAGTTTCTTAAGCCTAGGAAGCAGCCCAAGTTAAACGCATTGTCATCAAGCTTGGGCAGATTGAGCCACGCACAGTTGGGAAGGTCTGGGATTTTGGCCCGAGAAGGTGTTGTTTGAGAAGACAAAATTTGCGATGTACGGAATGGTGTGACAGATGTCAGCAGGAAGAGGTCCCTGGAGATGGTTGCTCGAAAGATGCGTGACGCATATGCAGTTTGCTAAGCACTGAGAAATAAAAACAAGGCTTAATTGCACCTGTGCAGTTTAACCGAAGTTTCAGGAGGTATTAGTGGGATTAAGTTTAAAAATAATTGGTTCTTGTTCGCTATTTCTGATTATTTCTTTGTAGAGTAATTATGCAACGGAAGTTCAATTAAAATGGGTAATGATTCTGTTATCTAAACATAGATTTCAGTTTTGTTGTTGATTTAATACTTGTAAGGTACCACTTGATGTGTGTTTTAGACTAAAAAAAATGCTAATTCATCCAACATGACGAAATATGGCACACACGCAGTTGGTTGGAGTTCATCTGAGAATTACAAAAATGAAAAAGAGAGAACGAAACCAATACCAAAACCAGCTGCTGCCAACATAATTACACCATTGGACTTGAAAACCCTAGCCACACTAATGGACTTCTTTTGAGATATTGATGCACAAGGCTTCAAAGGGTATCCACAGAGTCCAGGATTGTTTGCCGCACTAAAAGTTCTAAGCCTAGTTAGCTGGTTAACTTCTGCCGGAATATTACCCGAGAGCTGGTTGTTATCAAGCTTGAGCACATTCATATAGCTGCAATTGGAAAGCTTGGGCTGGATCAGCCCTGAGAAGCTGTTGGAAGAGAGATCAAGAGACGTAACGAACGAAAGAATTCAATCGATATCATGAGGTGAGGAAGAGGTCCACTGAGCTTGTTGCTTGAAAGATCTAAACCTGTTAAGCTTGTACAATTTTCTATGCTCCGAGGGAACTAGCCTTTTAACCCCTTTTTCATAGCAGGTCAAAACACATTGAGCTTTGTCATCATTTTATCAGAAAATTGGTTGAAGACAAAGAGATTGAATTAAAGTTTTGTGGCACTGATGAACAGATTGCAGATGTTTTCACCAAAGCACTTTCTAGAGAGAAGTTTTATTTCTTCAGAGATAAATTAAGTGTGCAGGACAAATGCATTCAGGGGAGTGTTAAAAGTAATGCATCTTAGTTGTATCTTGTCCTACAGGTTTCTTATGAAGAGTAGTATCTCTTGACTATATGAGGAGAAGTATATTTTAGATATCAAAAGCGGCATCTGTATCTCTTGGAATTAATTCAAGAGTTGTGTCTTATTATGTAAAGGTGTAAATGTAATTATAAATAGCCAACGTTATGGGCTGTTGTGATATCAAAGAAGTTAATAAAATCAGTTTGTATAATTCTCTGTTTTACAAACACTCTCTGTCTCACTTTATATTTACATCATATTCTTCAGTTTTGTAATCATTCCCCCAACATGATGTTCAGAACCTTGCTCTCGTGAGGGTGCCAACACTCGATCCCAACGAAGTTGCAGATGAAGCCTTCGGTGTTGTTGTTGAAATCCCAGGAAGAGTTGAAGTAACCTAAAGTGTCCTCGAGTGATGCTTTTATACTTTTCAAGCAGTTGATATCGCTCTCAACACCAAAGCTGAAGCTACAACTAAGCAGCAACAACAAGAGGACACTACCATTAGAAATGTCTAGATGTTGTTTGCTCCACAGCACCTGCCCAGAAAGCCATCAAAATGGCTTTAAAAAGTTGTTACCCTATTCAAGCAAAAATGATTTCAGAGCTAGAGATATATAACTGAAATGAACCCATAAATTCTCTAGCATTTTAATGACAATAGAGATCAAAGAACCCAGAGAAGGGGTTATTTCAATTTCAATCGATGACTGCGACTGGAGAAAAAAAAAATCAAAATTGCAGATATGTCTTAAAAGCTTGAGCTTCTTCTCCTAGCCACTGGTTTACAAGATTTTTTTAGAATTTTCCTAGAATGCCTATAACAATTATGTCTTGAAAGCTTGAGCTTGCCGACTTAGTCAAAGTTGGTGTACATCTCTCGAGTTCTCTACATTTCTCTAGACTTTTCGAGATACAAATGACTTAAATGAGCATTAACTTTTAAGAAAAACAAAAAAAATGCAAGCGCAATTTATACACGAGGATTTTCAAACGTACAATTAGTGAATCAGTCAACTTGAAAGAAGGACTAAATATAATTTAAGACAGGTAAAATGAGTTCAGAAAAGCAGAAAACAAGAGCACAACTGTTACTGGCTAGGCTGAGTTCAACTTTTACATCTTCTTGCGAACACCACCAAATAACGCACACTAGGAGCTCTCGGAAGGAAAAAAGAAAAAGAAAAAGAAAAAGGAAAACCAAAACCAGCTGCTGCTGCTGCTATAACTACATTTTTTTGAGTTCAAAACCTTAAACCGGCGGGCAATGCTTCAAAGGGCCTCCACAGAGTCCGGTGTTGTTTGCATAGCTTTCAGGTCCAATTGATGTATTATTAAAGTTTGGGACTGGGCCAGACAGCTGATTGTTGGCCACACTAAATGTTTTAATCCTAGCAAGCTGGCTAATTTCTGGAGGAATGATACCCGAGAACTTGTTGTTGTCAAGCTTAAGCACATTCAGATAGCTGCAATTGGAAAGCTTCATTGGGATTTGCCCTGTGAAGCTGTTATATGAGAGATCAAGGGACGTAATGAACGTAATGATTTTATCGATATCAGTAGGAAGAGGTCCATTGAGCTGGTTGCTTGAAAGATCTAACCCTGTTAGGCTTGTGCAATTTGCTACGCCTTGAGGAAACGAGCCCTTCAGTCCCAAATCCGAAAGCTTGAGGTTCAGAACCTTGCTCTCGTGAGGGTGCCAACACTCGACCCCAAGAAAGTTGCAGATGAAGCCTTCAGTGTTGTCGTTGAAATCCCATGAAGAGTTTAAGTACCCCAAAGTGTCCTCAAGTGATGCTTTTATACTTTTCAAGCAGTTGATGTCACTTTCAACACCAAAGCTGAAACTACAACTAAGCAGCAACCAGAGGACACTGCCAATAAAAATGCCAGCATCTTGTTTTCTCAACAACATATGCATCAAGAAAGCCATCAAAATGGGATAATGGGCTAAAAGAAAGAAAAAAAAAGTGCTATTTAGTTCATGAAGCCAAAGATCAGAGCTAAAGATAGTAGTGAAGACCTGAAATTCCCTGGCTTTTTATAACCACTGGACATGAAAGAACCCTGATAAGGGTTTGAACAATCAACGGCACAAATTAATGAAAAGGCTCCCACGCGGTCAGCACATGCATTAAAAATCAAGAGTGGTTTATACGTCCAATGGTATATCCTGGCTCTGTTTGAAGGGTTTATGAAAGTGAGGGAAGGAGAAGGGCTCATCTGGCTATTTTGAAGGCCACTCCTTTCGTCGAAAGCTTAGGGACGACTTGGACTGTTGACTATTGACTACCCACAGTGTTCGTCTGCCCTCTATTTCCTTTTCTTTTCTTCTTTGCCGACCTTCATGAGATGACTCAGTCTCATCTTAGAATTTTACTTGCTCAAACATGGAAAAAAAGAGAGGATAAAATACAACTCAAACTACTAAAAAGTCAACAATTATAAATGATGAAGAAAAAGAAACCCAATAATGATCTTGATGTCTCGTGATATATATATACACGATGAGCATGTAAATTATTAATCTTGTTTTCTCGTGATATATATACACACGATGAGAGTTTGTCTCTCTTGCTCCTCACATGATTAAAAGACATACTCAACCAGTGTCAATCACAAATAGGTACAAAAAAAGTTTTTCTCCATAAGCCTGTTTTGAGAAAGAAAAAATAGAAAAAGCAAATATAAAGCAAGCATAAGGGGTGCCATCATAAGAAATTAAGGGGCCCGTTTTCTATTGACAAAGAGATGGTAAAAAAAAACTTGATTATGTAAGGTTAAGTGTTACTTTTGGGTATGTCTGGTTTTTTTTTTCTTTTTTTATGGGGTTTATATAAGACTTATTGTCAATGAGTGTATTTCTATACACTGCTATTACATTGTTGTTGCGTGGAAGTTTCAAGTGGTAATGGGAGGAAGTTTCAAGTGGTAATGCGTGGAAGGGTTGTGTGCGGCTCTTTTTTTTATTTTTGCAGATTTTTTGTTTGTTTATTTATATTGGGTTGTTTTGGGTTCTTTTCCAAAAAGTTGGATTTGGGCCTACAGTAAAAGTCAGTGGCATAATATTCAAGTGATTTTAAGGAATATTTTAATAGAATTTGGATAATGTAGGGTTTTTTTAAAATATTTTGGATTCTAAAATTGAGCATAAAAGTGAAGGTCCCTGAAAAAAAATTATAATTCATCCATCTTTTGTATGTATATATTCAATTTGGTAAGAACCTATAAATATAAACTTCATCTATAAACTGTTACGGGTGTCTCACGTTAAACATGACGAAATAAGGCGCACACGGAGACGGAGTTGTTGGAGTTCATCTTAGAACAAAAAAAGAAAAAGAGAAAACGAAACCAATACCAAAACCTACTGCCGCCAACATAATTATACCATTGGACTTGAAAACCCTAGCCACACTAACGGACTTCTTTCGAGATATTGGTGGACAAGGCTTCAGAGGGTATCCACAGTGTCCAGGATTGTTGGCCACACTGAAAGTTTTAAGCCTAGTTAGCTGGTTGAATTCTGCCGGAATGTTACCTGAGAGCTGGTTGTTATCAAGCTTGAGCACATTCATATAGCTGCAATTGGAAAGCTTCGGCAGGATCAAGCCTAAGAAGATGTTGAAAGAGAGATCAAGAGACGTAACGAACGAAAGAATTTTATCGATATTATGAGGAAGAGTTCCACTGAGCTGGTTGCTTGAAAGATCTAAGCCTATTAAGCTTGTACAATTTTCTACACCTCGTGGGAACTGACCTTTTAGTCCCAACTCCAAAAGCTTGATGTTCAGAACTGTTAACGTGAGTCTCCTAATTAATCAAGGAGATTTACTTCCTTGATTAATTAAGGGATTTACTTTCCTATTTTTTTTATATAAGTGATAAATCATTGTACAATTAGGAGATACTTTCCTAATTCTTTACTATATCTAATTCCTTGTAAAACCCTCATATGTAAACTCCTATATATACCTCCTTATGGAGAAGAATAAAGAACAACCTAATACATTGAAACCATATTCATATTTTAGCATGGTATCAGAGCCAGGTTATCTTGTGACCTGTGCTTGTGTTCTTATTGAAATTTAAGTGATCTCCTCCCCTCCTCTTCAAGGGGGGGAGGGGGAGTGAAAATGATATGTTTAATTACGTATCCCCATTACCTTAACGCATTCCCATGAAGATACTGCATATCTCTTTACTCTGACGACTCCTTCTCTTTAGGAGAGAAGGGGAGTGAAGAGAAGTTGTTTTGTCTCTAAACCCTTATCTCAAATTTCTCATATTTAAATCCAAAACCCTAAATCAAATTCCTCATATTTTTTCCCCAAATCCAAATCTCTCAAATCTAAAGTCCTCAAATCCTCTTATCCAAAACCCCAAATCAAATTCCTCATATTTTTTCCCCAAGTCCAAATCCCTCAAATCCTTTTATCCAAATCCCTAAACACATACCATCAAATCTTATACACATACCTCTTAAATCCAATTCCTACATCAAATTCATACATCAAATTTCTCACATCACCTTCCTCACCTTCTCATATCACATCTTATTTCCGCTGCGATGTCAAGAACCCATACGATTCTCCATCTTATTGCAGACTCACAGAAGCATGCGGTCAATCTTGCTGACCTGGCTACCCAGACTCTTTCTTCTATCACCACCACCAAAGGTTCTACTCTTTATACGTCCTCCAAGATCAGATATTGCATATGCTGTGAGTGGGGAAGAGTATTTCATGACTCACTTACCAAGTTGGGCATTCGTGACATATATGCACTAACTTGAGGAGGGGTGTTGACGTGAGTCTCCTAATTAATCAAGGAGATTTACTTCCTTGATTAATTAAGGGATTTACTTTCCTATTTTTTTATATAAGTGATAAATCATTGTACAATTAGGAGATACTTTCCTAATTCTTTACTATATCTAATTCCTTGTAAAACCCTCATATGTAAACTCCTATATATACCTCCTTATGGAGAAGAATAAAGAACAACCTAATACATTCAAACCATATTCATATTTTAGCAAGAACCTTGCTCTCATAAGGGTGCCAACACTCAATCCCAAGAAAGTAGGAGATGAAGCCTTCAGTGTTGTTGTTAAAATCCCATGAAGATTTTAAGTACCCCAAAGTGTCCTCAAGTGATGCTTTTATACTTCTCAAGCAGTTGATATTACTGAAATGAAGCAGAAATTCTCTAGCATTTTAATGACACTAGAGATCAAAGAACCCAGAGAAGGGGTTTCAATTTCAACACTACGACTGGAAAAATAAATAAAAGGTTCAACGAGAAAATGGCCCTCTTTGGTCTTTCTACAGAGAAAGATGAAAGGCCTTGACGTTTCAACATGTAAATGACATGCAATTACACAAGAGTGAATTATACGTTTAAAAAAATTTCCTGTCTTTTTTTTCTCTTTCGGTAAACAAATTCGATTGGTTTGATGAAAGTGAGAGAAGAAGAAGCTCATTAATGGGGTCATTTGAAGGAGAAGCATTGTTATCCCACCCAATCACGGTATGTGATATATGATAATTTTTCGATTGAGTGAAATAGCAAAATAGTAATATCCACGTTTAACACTAAATTTAACAATAGCAACATCATTCTCAGACTTGAAGATGACTTGCACAGCTCCAGTGGCCCCCCACAGAATCCGAAATTGATCACATAACTCTGCGCTCCCATAAACGAACTGTGGGACTGGCCCAAACAGAAGATTGTGGGCCACACTGAGTTTCTTAAGCCTAGGAAGCAACCCAAGTAAAACGCGTTGTCATCAAGCTTGAGCAGATTGAGCCACGCACAGTTGGGAAGGTCTCGGATTTGGCCTGAGAAGGTGTTGTTTGAGAAGTCAAGATTTGTGATATACAGAATGGTGTGACAGATGTCAGCAGGAAGAGGTCCTTGGAGATGGTTGCTCGAAAGATGCGTGACGCATGTGCAGTTTGCTAAGCACTGAGAAATAAAAACAAGGCTTAATTACACCTGTGCAGTTTAATCGAAGTTTCAGGAGGTATTAATGTGATTAAGTTTAAAAATAATTAGTTCTTGTTCACTATTTCTGATTATTCCTTTGTAGGGTAATTATGCAACGGATGTTTAATTAAAATGGGTAATGATTCTGTTATCTAAACATAGATTTCAGTTTTGTTGTTGATTTTATACTTGTAAGGTACCACTTGGTGTGTGTTTTAGACGAAAAAAAATGCTAATTCATCCAACTTTGTATGTATTATTTGCAACGACAACGCTGCGGGTGTCTTATTTAATTATGTTCGGGTACATGACCAAATAAGGCACACACGAGGCTGTTGGAGCTCATCTTAAAAAAGAAAAAGAAAAAGAGAAAACGAAACCAATACCAAAACCAGCTGCTGCCACCATAAGTACACCATTCGACTTGAAAACCCTAACCACATTCAAGGACAAGGACGTCTTTTGAGATATTGATGGGCAAGGCTTGAGGGGGTATCCACAAAGTCCAGGATTGTTTGCATAACTGTCCCTTCTAATTGAAGCAATATTCTCACCGAATGGTGGCACTTGGCCCGACAGAAGATTGTTGGCCACACTAAAAGTTCTAAGCCTAGTTAGCTGGTAAACTTCTGCCGGAATGTTACCCGAGAACTGGTTGTTATCAAGCTTGAGCACATTCATATAGCTGCAATTGGAAAGCGTCGCCGGGATCAGCCCTGAGAAGCTGTTGGAAGAGAGATCAAGAGACGTAACCCACGTAAGAATTTTATCAATATCATGAGGAAGAGGTCCACTGAGCATGTTGCCTGAAAGATCTAAACCTGTTAAGCTTGTACAATTTTCTACGCCCCGAGGGAACTGACCTTTTAGTCCCAACTCCGAAAGCTTGATGTTCAGAACCTTGCTCTCGTGAGGGTGCCAACACTCGATCCCGAGAAAGTTGCAGATGAAGCCTTCAGTGTTGTTGTTGAAATCCCATGAAGAGTTTAAGTAACCTAAAGTGTCCTCAAGTGATGCTTTTATACTTTTCAAGCAGTTGATATCGCTCTCAACGCCAAAGCTGAAGCTACAACTAAGCAGCAACAACCAGAGGACACTGCTAACAAACATGTCTAGATTTCGTTTGCTCAACAACACAGGCATCAAGAAAGCCATCAAAAATAGCCTTAAAAGTTGGTACCTATTTAAGCAATGATGAATATCAGAATGCACCTGGAAAAAAGGTAAAAGTTCAATGAGAAAACGACCCTCTTTAGTCTTTCGACAGAGATGAAAGACTTTTGAGTCAACACGTAAATGAATTGCAATTATGCAGAAGTTTCCTGTCGTTTTCTTCTTTGGTAAACCGAATCAGATTTGGTTTGATGAAAGCGAGCGAAGGAGAAGCTCAGGGACGACTTGGGGGGTGGGTTGTTTGCTATACTCTTCGGAGTGCTTGACTGCCCTCTATCCTTCTTATTTTATTTTTATCTTTGAGTCGTTTCGGAAGTGGCTATGAGCAGCACACTGTAACAACACTTGGGCAATGCTTGCGCTCTCTTTTCAACTTTTGTTTACTTTTTCTAATCAAGTTAGGTTTGTTTCAAAAATAGCTGAAAAAGCAAAGGGTTTTCTCTGAAAAATGGAGCTGAGTTGACCTAGCAGAACAAGAGTTTGAACAGAGACGATAGATTCTATGGTGTCGTCGATTGCAGAGAAGCAGATAATGAGAGGCAGCGAGGATGACAAAAGATATGACAGGAAAAAAAAACAGAGAGAGAGAGAGAGAGAAGAACTGAATTCGTTGAAGCAGTAGAATTTAAGCATGCACTACAAAAATTGCAATTTATCCATTTCCTGGAGCTGTTGGCATTCTTTATTTTATTTGCAGTTCCTCGAGCAAGTTTTATAATCATAATACAATTGTCTTGCCTATGGTCAAATAAGAAATCAGGGCCATAACATACAGCACACATGCCCTACATGCTGTGTCTGTAGGTTTTAATTGCAGATACTGAAATCTTGGTGTTGCAGTGCTACCAAGTACTTCAATGTTTTTGTATGGAAATAATACATCTGTTAAACCAATACCAAATCAACTACAAAGAAACTGAGGGCATTTTACAAACTGAGTACCTTGTAAGTCTAAAAAAAGTTGCTCTCATTAAGAACATTAAACGAGTTGGGCTATATGTGACTTAAAATACACATTCAAAGATTATAGAGGGCAATTTTACAACTGTATGTCGTAAAAAAGCAGATCCAATCAGTAGCTAAAGCATAAATCATATATGTAATAATAATGTTTATTACAGTACACAAAAACAGATAATTACAAAAGGGTACTGGCCATATATTAATATACTCTTCTTACCTTTTTCAGTTCATCTCCTTCATCTCTCGAGCAACAATAAGTTCCCCTCTGCCGTCACCATCACCGATGTCTGTAGGCATCATTATCTCATCGTCGACTGTGAAGTTATATTTCTCCCCAATGGCCCTTAGAAGCTGGTATACTTCAAACATAGTAGGCCTCTCCTTGGGAGTAAGCACCACACAATTACATGCAACTTTAAGAAACTGGAAAAGCTCCTCATTCACACCCTTCCCAACCAAAGATTTGTCGAGCGCATCCTGGAGTTGAGATTGGCTTGACAGCTGCATAATCCATTCCACCAAATTTCCTTTGAAGTCTTCAGGAGCTTTAGCAATATGGGTAGCTCTCTCACCAGTCACCAACTCAAGAAGAACAGTTCCAAAGCTGTAAACATCCCCCTTTGGAGTGGCAAGTAGAGTTCGTGCATACTCAGGAGCAACATAACCCAGATCCCCGAACTCCCCATTCACAAAAGTACTCAAATGCGTATCAATTGGATTCATGAGCCTAGCAAGGCCAAATTCAGATATTTTCGGCTCGAAATCTGCATCCAGTAAGATGCATTTGGAGCTTATGTTTCGGTGGATAATTCGAGGATTGCAGTTATGGTGGAGCCACGCTAATCCTCTGGCTGCCCCTATCCCAATTTTAAGCCTAGTTGGCCACTCCATAATCTTCGCACCATCAGCATCCATAGGATGTAGCTGATCGTGGAGGGTACCATTAGGCATGTACTTATAGACTAAAAGCCTTTCCTTCTTCGCCACGCAAAATCCTAAAAGAGGAACCAAGTTACGGTGTTCTATATTCCCCAAAGTAGCCATCTCAGACAGAAACTCTTTCTCAGAGTGTTGAGATTCCTGCAACCTCTTGACCATAAGTGGGGTGCCATCGTCGAGCACTGCCTTGTACATAGTTCCAGTTCTTCCTGACCCAATGATATTGTCTTTGTGGAAATTGTTGCTGGCCTTCATGAGATCACCCAGTTTCATTTTAGAAATTGACTTCTCAAACATGGAAACCTGGAATAAACTAGCTTCATTACAATACAATACAGCTGAAACTACTAAAAATAGAAACATAACTTTGTGCATAATCAAAATGAACAAAGTATAGCAAGAAAGAAAGAGAGAGAGAACTAATCAGATTATCATTGTATGTAAATCTTTAATTCGTTTCTAAAAGAAATGTTCTGTATTAGCTTGCCTTGATGCCTTTAGTTTTCTTGAAACTCTTTGCCCATTTGTTCCCTTCCGGGTCCTCTTCCTTCTTCCTTGCAGACACTCTACGCATAAAGAAGAACAAGCCAATAACAACAATTAATGCTGCAAAAGTTGCACCACCAACACCAGCTCCCACAATAACTACACTGTTAGACTTCTTTGCAGCTGACCGGCACAACTCCAGAGGCTTCCCACAGAGTCCAGGATTGTTTGCATAAGAGTCCACTGTAATTGATGCATCCTTATTAAAGATTGGGACTTGGCCAGACAGCTGATTGTTGGCCACAGTAAATGTTTTAATCCTACCAAGCTGGCCAAGTTCTAGAGGAATGTTACCCGAGAACTTGTTGTTGTCAAGCTTAAGCACATTCAGATAGCTGCAATTGGAAAGCTTCATTGGGATTTGCCCTGTGAAGCTGTTAGATGAGAGATCAAGGGACGTAATGAACGTAATGATATGATCGATATTAGTAGGAAGAGGTCCATTGAGCTGGTTGCTTGAAAGATCTAACCCTGTTAGGCTTGTGCAATTTGCTACGCCTTGAGGAAACAAGCCCTTCAGTCCCAAATCCGAAAGCTTGATGTTTAACACTTTGCTCTCATGAGGGTGCCAACACTCGATTCCCAGAAAGTTACAGATGAAACCTTCAGTGTTGTTGTTGAAATCCCAGGAAGAGTTTAAGTAACCTAAAGTGTCCTGAAGTGATGCCTTTATACTTTTTAAGCAGTTGATATCACTCTCAACACCAAAGCTGAAACTACAACTAAGCAATAACCAGAGGACACCACCAATAAAAATGCCGGGATCTCGTCCATTCAACAACATATGCATTGAGAAAGCCATCAGAATCGCCTAAATAGCTACTTAGTGATATCAGAGATCAAGATACTGAACCCGCAAAACCCCAGCATTAGTCAACACCAAACCCTGAAACAAACTCAAAAGCAACAGAAAATGAACCCAATCAGACTACAAATACTGAAACCCAAAAAATCTAGCTTAGCTTTCAACAACACCGAATTTGGAAATAAATTTTTTTTTTTAAAACAACACATACAACAAAACCCAATTCATCATCACTCTATCAAAAGATGCAAAAACAGGTTCAACAAGCAACAATTTGATTGATAAACCTGAAAATTCACAAACTACAGACTAAATCATAGACATAGCTAGTTAAAAAAACCTTACTTGATCCAATTGAGTTGACCCAAGCCTGCCTAAACATAAGCATATATATTCACAAAAATCCAGCTAAAAGTTAAAGGCTTTGAGAAAAATTTAAAGAACCCACCTGAGATAGTTCACTAGCGCAAACACAGAAAATTCACAGAGCGCAAAGAAGGCTTCTTGAATCAACAACAGCACAGCTTCCCCTCTTTCCGCAAAGACAAAGACTTCATGGGTCAACAAAAAAGCAACGGCAGATACGATTTACATACAGATATATTCATCCAATAACTACAAAGCGAGAATTTATATATATTTTTCGGAAAAACTGGACATGGGTGTGTGTGAACGGAGATGCTTTTGCAGGACAGCCTTGGGTGGGTTTTGGGAAAAGCGAGGAAATTAGAGGCTCGACGGGTCAAAGAAGGCCGGCCATTTTTGTCAAACTTAGCGACGACTTGGGACTGCTAGAGCTCCTCAGAGTGCTTGACTCGCTTTTTCTTTCATTTCCAAAAAATAATAAATTTATTTATTTATTTATGTACTGTTATAAAAAAATGTTATGCTATTGGTCACCAAACCGTTAAAAATATGAAAGCTTTAACTTTAAGGTCGTTTGTGCGTTTGTCTTCAACCACTCCTTTTTATCTCCTTGACTTTTGGAAAAATTTGGTTCATAAATTCTCAAGTGAAAGATTTACTTTTACTGCACTAAGATTCACCAAGTAAAAGTTTTGAACTTTGAATTTGAATGAGTTTCTATCCAAAAAAAAACTTGAGTGAGTTGTTAGACATGAATGCAACTTCAGCTTGTGTTTAATTTTTGTACTTGTTATGAAATATATTTCAGCTTGGACATAATTCGTCTTTTGTTAGCTAGTATCCAATAATGTTTTCCAAAATTGATTATTGCTAGTCTTAAGGAAAAATTTTCAAAGTTTAACTCATTGTTGATCTGGTGATATTCTCGATTTGCAACCGTGGTGTTAGTTGAAGTGGCTAGTTGAATTGGCCTATGTCTTTGGTGTGCTCCCAAACGATCATTAGTTTAAGTCTCCATAGTACCGAGTGTATAAATTTTCCCCTGCTTCTTCTTAACTTTAGCCCACACACAAAAATTTACCAATTTAAACTTTGTTGTTCAATGTTACCAAAATCAAATTACCTCTCCTAAAAAGAAAATTAAAAATATATTATTTAAAGTTGAGCTCAACCCCAATAATGGGAAGGGAGAGGTAACCGCAAGGGTAGGGTAGAGATCTTTATGTCAATATCTCTTATAATCGAAAAAACAAAAGTTAAGGTCAAGTCAATCACTTAATGTTAGCTCATGAAATTGAGTGGGATTTTTTTATTTTTTTTTATTTTTTTTCTTCTTCCTACATGAGGTTGTTTAGGTAGAGCCCGGTGGTAACTACTGAAAATAATGTTTCATCCGTTGCCATTTCTTCCCACATCACTTACTTTAATTAAATATATTTCTTGCTTAATTATGCATTTAGGGCATGTGTAAAGCCATTGTGACTTGCATGTCATACTTGACTTAGAAAAAAAAACAAAAACAAAAAAAGGGGCATTCATCTTGTTTTGCTTGATTTGGCAATGCATCCCCTTTGTTTCAAAGATATCATCCTCACCTCATTTGATGTTCAATTACATTTTTCTATAATTAGTTGTTTTATGTCATTAATCCTCATTAAAGAGTGCACTCATTGCAATACAAATGAATCCATTATAGAAAATTTAAATTATATCATAAACTTTTCTCAAACAACAAACTCCCCATTATTTTCCATCTCTCTTTATATCAAAATGCACAATGAAACCCAACAATAATTTAAACTTCAACACAATCCATGAAATGGAATGAGAATGAGAATTGAATGAAATCAAGTACGGAATAGGAATCCAATTTCTTGGTTCGAAAAGCTCCAAATTTTCTTATAGATGTTATATTTGAGGATAGTAACAAATAGGATTTTCTCGAATATGATTCTAGAGGGAGCAGGAGGATAAGGGGTGCTCCATCAGGGACAAGGTTCCTTCTCTTACAATGTGGTAAAGGGCAAACTACTTAATTTAAACTGATAGATCGAACCATTACGTATATATACTCGCCTAATATTCTAGGACATAGTCGAGTTTTTTTTTCCTTATTCTTATAAAAAAATCATATTGCTATTTTGAAAAAAAAACAAAAACAAAACAAAACCTGCTATCAAACTACATTTTGAAATCCAAGAATACTTTGTCGACATTCATAAACAAAGTTTTAGATAATTTTTCCGTGACAAAGCATTACTTATGGAAAGCAAACAAAACCTTGTACGACAAAGATGTTTTTCATAGTCCTGTCCAGCGCATAGAGGCAGGTGGCATAACCTTAACGCCACTCCACACTTCACTATAAACACTCCCAAGGCCCAGGCCCATACATTTCTCTAGATCGTCTCCAGTATCGTCCAACCGGGAAGTAGGCAAAATGGGAGTGCCCCATAAAAAGCAAAAGAAAGAGGGCTGCGACATAAAACACACTCGCTTGCTTGTCTGAACTTTCCTCTTTCTCTCTCTTCGTCTCTGTATGTAGGGATTGCTGAGAGTAGCAGCCACTCACTCACACATCGACCAGCAGTCTCAGTAGCCATGGATTGATCGGTTCTCCTCGGAATTTCCACAATTCCTTTGGGGGTTTTTGGTAAATTTCCTTCCTTTACTCGCTAATTCACTCATTTTGCTTACTTTCCTACTCTTATCTTCAGATCGGCGCCGTTTCTTTCCGCGGAAAGTTCTCTATTTTCCCGCGAAATTTCTTTCATTTTACGGGAAAGTTAGAGAAATGTTTACCGCGAGAGCGAGCCGGCTGTTGTGAACGGAATTGAAGAGTTTGGGTTACTTTATTTAGTGTTTTTGTTATTCAATTTCGAATTTTTTTAATGTTTTGTTTTGATTTTGTTTGGTTAGGGTTTCTAAGTGTGCTTTGTGAATCTAGCATTTAGGAATTGGGATCTCTTGCTTGGATATCTTCATTGCGTTAATTCAAGCTTGCTGTAATTACTGGTGAGCTATTTTGTGATAATTTGTCATAAAAAATTGGAATTTTTTTCGTTTTCTTTCCAATTTTGGCTGCACTTTCTTTGAAATTTAAGCTGCCTTTTTCTGTCAGTTTGATTAACTGAGGTTAATGCTCCTCAAGGTTGCTACTTTTGCTACAAATGTGGAACTGTTTTTAATTTGAGGATAATGATATTAATAGATTAATTGTGGAGGTGAAATTGTAGTGGATTTGTTGAGCTAACATTCCCTTTTGATGATTCATAGGACCACTTATTCAAAAGCTCAGTGTTACCCCACTGAACTTCCAGCTTTAGCATTATTCTTTGACTTTATTTGCATACTGAATTGTGAGTATTATTCTAAGTCCAAGCTATGAAGTTTTGGTCATTTTATGTTTTAATTGGAGACAATTCGTCCCATTCACCATGCCATTTTGAAGGTTTTCTATGTCTTTCAAGAGTAGAAAGATGACCATTCACCATGCCACTTCCCAATTTATTAAAATGGTCTCGGATCTAAACCAAGTACATTCTTGAAGCTCCCCATCAGTCCATCTTCTGTTTATCAAATTTAGATATAGGGAAATTACTGGCTATCAAATCTTTCATATCTTTATTAAGATGTTTGCATATGGATGACTACTCAACCATTGAGGTGGCTTGAGAAGGCAATAACATTCAATTTACCTCAATTCAAATCCTCTTCTGCAGCTGCTGTACTACTTTATTCTCCTAACTTGTTTCCTGCAGTTCTACCATTGAAGCCAACACTATTGTTAGATACCTTCCCTGTTGGACTTGTATCAAGACCTGAACGGATAATTTTTTCTTTCTAATAATTTACTTCCCTGTGGATGTGGCATAAAAACAATACAAGTGCATGCCTGATGCATGTTGGCAGATTATAATATATTTATACATCCAAGTATGCATGTATTGATCTGTCTACTGTTTAGCAGTATGATTAGATTAACCAAAATTCTGTAAGGACTCAGATTGTGGGAAAGGGAATTTGTTTTTTGGATTAAAGTTTAACATGGTGTTGGTGCTTCTGTTTCTGCTGCTTTGACTATCAATACTTCTATATGTTTTGACACTTCTCTCTTTTGTTATCTCCAGATCCTTTGCCATGGATAATACCAACTCAGTTTCTACACTTATAGATTGTACAACCTCTAAGATACAACAGCTTCAGAAAGCATTTGCTGAACTTGAGAGTCACCGGGCTGTAACCCTGAACTTGAAGTGGAAAGAACTTGAAGAACATTTTCATGGGCTTGAAAAATCCTTAAAGAGGCGTTTCCATGAGCTGGAAAGCCAAGAAAAGGAGTTCGAAAGCAGAACAGTGGAAGCCCAAAAACTGTTAGAAAAGCGGCAAGCAGCTGTTGTGGCCAAGGAACAAGCTTCACTGGAGACTCTTCAAGAGAAGCGAGATGCTGCCATATATGTTATTACTACTGCTCGAGAGAAGCAAAGGAAGGTATCAACTGAGGAGTCTTCTGTTGTCACTGATGATGGCCAGGGTGGGCCACCAAGTGTGGAAGAGAAACCACCGGATGTGATGGTTTCTGAAAGTAACTTTGAAGAAATGAAAAGTGCTGAAAATGGGAGTATAGAGGTGATGTCCTATCCCCAGTTAGTGAAACTATGTGAACAGATGGACTCAGAAGGGCTCCACAAATTTATATCAGATAACCGCAAGAACCTTGCTTCCATAAGAGAGGAAATTCCACTTGCATTAAGAGCTGCAGCCAACCCTGCCCTATTTGTTTTGGAATCTTTGGAAGACTTTTACCGCCTGGAAGGGCCCAATATGGACGGGAAGAAGGATTCAAATCTGTTGGGTGTCCGTCGTACTTGTATCATGTTGATGGAGTGTCTGAGCATATTGCTAACAAACCCAGATTTAGTCTCTGCATCTGATGTAATTACGGAGGAGGTTAAGGATCTGGCAGAAGCAATTGCTGAAGAATGGAAGCCAAAGTTGGATGCTCTTGACATGGATGCTAGCAATGGGAACTCACTAGAGGCTCATGCTTTTTTGCAACTTCTTGCTACTTTTGGTATTGCCTCTGGTTTTGATGAGGAAGAATTATTCAGGCTAATACCAATGGTTTCACGTCGTCGCCAAACAGCTGACCTTTGCCGTTCTCTTGGATTGACTGAGAGAATGCCAGGTTCGTCTTTTATTTTTGAAGAAACACATTTTAGGAAAAATTTGTCAAGCTTTTTAGTTTATTAAGACACTGACCTTAAGATTTGATCAAGTTTTATAAAGTAAAGAATTTTTTTTTTTTTTTTTTTTTTTTTTTTTTTTTTTCTCTTACTAGTTTGCATATATTTTTGGCAAGTTTTTGTTTACAATTCTAGAAGTTACTATTTTTTGTTCCTCTGCTATTTAGATAGTTTCCATTATAAGCACTGAAATAAGGATATAATTGCAAATATAGAATTACTGTGTTCTAACCAATATGATAAAGTGTGCAGTGGTCTTAGATGAGTCCTTTAGAGGAGGAAGACATTGAGATTTTCCTTTTCATCCTGGATGAAACTCAGAAACCTATATACTATATCGTATATAGGCTGCTCTTGCATTTCATTGAATTCTTTGTGTTAAAGTCCAGCAATGTCAGACACTATTATCTTGGCATTAGCAGGATAGTTCTACTGATACTTAAAACTTAATGGGATGCTTGCACTCATGCACCAACATGGCGAACGTAGTAGTTGAAAAGATTGATTTCTCCCTTTCACGACCTTCTATTTTGGATTTTCTTACAGTTTTTTTTGTTGTTGTTATTTTGGTATTTTACAGGTGTTATTGAAGTGTTGGTGAGTAGTGGACGACAAATTGATGCAGTTAACTTGGCTTTTGCATTCGAATTGACAGAGCAGTTCTCTCCTGTGCCTTTACTCAAGTCCTACTTGAAAGAGGCTAGAAAAGCTTCACCGGTCAAACCTGGAAATGCATCTCCCACAGCACAGGTGTGTTCATCACTCTCATCTTTTAGGGGTCTTGGTCATCTTTCTTGGATGCATCTCCCAACTTATTAATCTGAGATAGCACTCATATTTGATGAGTTTTGCCATAAAAAAAAGTTTGTCTATCTAAATGCAAATTGGATATACATAACAAATACTTCATTATTTCAGAATGAAGTGAATGACCGAGAGCTGGCTGCCCTTAAGGCTGTGCTCAAGTCCATTGAAGAACATAAGCTTGAGGACCAGTATCCAGTGGATCCACTTCAGAAACGGGTTCTTCAGCTGGAAAAGGCCAAGGCAGACAAGAAGAGAGTGGCTGAAGCTGCAAAACCTCAACCCAAGAGACCTCGCGCTAATGGTGTTGGATATGGGCCTCGTGTCACCAATGTTGTTGCTGACAAGACTTTCTATCCTAGAGTTGCTGAAAATAGGTACCCGCAGTACATGTATGACAGACAGTTTGTTTACCCTGGACCTGCTGACAACCACTGCCCCTCCCTGCTGGGTTCTGCCACTTACAACATGTCTCCTGCTCATGGCAACTACTTTGCAACTGGCTACCAGTATCAGCCCGCATATCTTCACTAATTTGATGGCCAAAAGTGACTTACGATCCCCTCAGTTTAACGGTTAGTCTTTAACCCTCTGAGTTCGTTGATGTTCCAATGTATGAATGATATTAGTATCCAAAAAAAGACCCAAAAAAAAACAAAAAAAAATTTGTCTTGTTAATTTGTTAGTTGGATGTACAAGAAGATATTTGATCCTCTAATATATGTACTTTGTTTTTCTTTTGTATATGTTTCTTGATCTCCATAATCCGTTGTATTCGATTTTGACTGCATGCCAACTTTCTGAAAACTTTGATGCAAAAGCATTCTTTTGAAACCATGGGGATGCATATTTTAAACAGACCCCAGCTCCTTCACGCTTTTGGGTTGATGGCTTTGCTGAATTTGGGACCCATTTCAACTCAATTAACGCTCAAATCTCTTTTAACCGGAGAGTTCATTGGGATATTGTGATCATGCCAATTCAGCTCACACTCAAATATACAGTTCTTGTTTTGTTGTTCCTTTCGCAATAATTGATCACGTGATTAGCACGCGAGGCGGTTATCTGAGAAGGAACGTTGTATATCTCTTCAATGCATGAATTTTCGGTCCAAGTACCAACAATTGATTGATTGAAGAATAAAATGGCAAAGAAGCTCATTTTATTAAAAGAGATAAGGCAGGCGCAGGAGTATGCTTCAAAACACAGACAAGTACAGCGGCGTGCATGCTAATGTTATGCCAATTATTCAAAAGCTTGCCACATACAGATTGAAAAAATTAAAAACGTAGGTAGCACGCAAGTCGGTTACCTGAGAAGGACGTCCTTAAAAGCACGAAGTTTTTTTCTCCAAAGTACCAACAATTCATTGACTAAGAACATAAAGGCAAAGTAGCTCATTTTATTAAAAGAGACAAGACAGTATGATTCAAAAGACAAGTAAATATGGTCCGCAAATATGCTAATGTTATGTCAACTATTGAAAATTCGCCACACGCGAACTGAAATACATAGTTGATGTAATAGTATTTCATTTATTTTCATTATAAACTCGATATGATAGTATTTCATTTATTTTCATTATAAACTCACTTTGGACCTTATTTATTGTAAAAAATTGCCACATCAATCGGTAAGTTGGTTTGTAGAAAGCAAAGAGGTATTTGATCATAAAAATAAAAATTAAATACAAAAAATAAATAAATAAAACGAAGAAGAAAAGAAAAGAGCGGTCTAAAAAAGCCTAGCCCAATTTAAAGCGACACACCAATGTCCAGCCCAATTGGTCCCGTATCTCGAACGACCATATCTCCAGCGTCGTTTAATCGTAACGAACTCTCCTCCAAAATCTCACATTTTTCAAAACAAAAGCTCCTTTCCCTCCCACAGTTTACAGTTATATTCATTCAAATTCCCGCCAATCACAGATGAGAATCGCTGAGTTATCGACGCCGGAGCTCCGGCAAGGCCAAGCCCACTCGCAATCGCATTCGCATTCGCAGTCGCATCAACATCTACTCTCCCAAATTGAGTCCTCCATCAAACAAACCGAGAATCTCTCCCCTGACCAGTTTCCGCCGGACACAATCTCCGCCGATCTCAGCCGATTCTCGACTCAGCTGAGTCAACTGGCTCCCTTCCCCAACTCCCTCAAGCTCCTCATTTGGAAGCTCAGCTACCGCCTCTGGAACGCCTGCGTCGACCTCTCCAACGCCTCCTCTCTCCGGTCTCTCCCTCCCTCCAAAGCCGAAGACCACGCCAAGCTCCGCCACGTCGCCTCCGATCTCCTATTCATCGCCAGCGACGTCTCAGGCGTTCCTTCCCCGGCGATCAAGTCCGCCTCCTTCTACCTCAAGACCGGCCTAATTTGGCACGATCTCCGAAGCTTCGACCTCGCTTCCTTATGCTTCGAGCGAGCCACCGATATCGTCTCGAAGATCGACATCGACAAACTCTCAGATGCCGGAGAGAGAAAGCTTCTGCTGGACTTGAACATTGCGAGATCCAAAACCGCATGGGAGATTCGGGACCGAAATCTCGCGATTGCGTTGCTGAACCGGGCCAAGGGATTGCTATTCGGGACACCGGACCACCACAAAGCACTCGCGAACCAGTACTTGGCGTTCGGAAAGACCGCGCTGGCCAAGAGCGAGGAGAGTCAGGATCTAAACGACGCGTTGAAGCTCATGAACGAGGCTCTGGATCTGTACGAAAAGGGATTGCGTGAGGCGAGAACACGCCAAGAGACCGTGGACCTCAAGGATCTGAGGTCGAAGACGCTCCGGTTCATCTCGGCCCTCCATTTGCAGAAGAACGAATTCGAGAGCGTGATCAAGTGCGTGAGGGTGTTGAGAGAGGAATGCGAAAGTGGGGACCACCATCCGAGCCTTTCAGTTCTGGCGATGAAGGCCTGGTTGGGGTTAGGGAAGTACGGCGAGGCCGAGAAAGAGCTCAGGGGCATGGTCGTAAATAAGGGGATTCCTGAGGGTGTTTGGGTGTCGGCTGTGGAGGCGTATTTTCAGGCAGCTGGGACGGCCGGAGCAGAGACGGCAAAGGGAGTGTTTTTGGGCCTGTTAGGGCGGTGCCACGTTAGTGCCGGCTCGGCGGTTAGGGTGGCCCACAGAGTGATAGGTGACGTCAGCGAGGGGTCAAGAGTTAGGGCCAAAGTGGTGGCGGAGCTCGTATCAGACAATAGAGTCGTGGCACTCTTCAATGGTGAAGGGGCTGCCAAGCAGAGAACAGCAATGCATGCGGTGCTTTGGAATTGGTATGGTCAACTGTTCCAGTTCAATTACTCCATCTTCCTTCCAAATATGAATTTTCTATAGTTAAAATCTTAAGAGTTTTTTAATTTTACAGTGGTGCAGAGCATTTCCGATCAAAAGATTATGAAACAAGTGCAGAAATGTTTGAGAAAGCGATGCTTTATATCCCATTTGACATTGAAAGTAGAATTCTCAGAGCCAAGGGATTTAGAGTTTTGTGTCTCTGCCACCTGGGTCTGTCCAAGCTTGATCAAGCACACGAGTACATTAACGAGGCCGAAAAGGTTTGCTTAGAGCTACAAGATTGGAGTTTTGGTTCTTTGGGAACTTAATTTTTTCACTGATTAAATTTTTGCCTTCTCTGTTTCTGCAGCTTGATCCTAACATAGTTTCAGCTTTCCTAAAGGTACCCCCATAGCTTTAGCTTGATCCTAACCTATGTTACTATTGTATTGCCGTATTCAGCTTGAACCTAACACATCCTGTGTGCTTATGCAGTTTAAGATTTATCTGCAGAAGAAAGACCAGAATGGAGCTATTGATCAGATTCAGGCAATGGCTACCTGCCTTGATTTCACCCCAGACTTTCTCTCCCTTGCAGCCCATGAAGCCGTTGCTTGCCGTGCTCTTGCTGTTGCTGTTGCCTCTCTATCCAATCTGCTGAACTTTTATGCTCCGGGAAAGTCCATGCCAGCTACTGAAGTTGTAGTTCTACGCACCTTGGTCACAATCCTTACTCAAGAACCTGGGAATGAGCTTGAAGCCCTCAAGTTTGTTAAGCGTGTTCATGACCGGGCATCTGAACTCGGGTCTGATTGCTTTTTTGGAACAGGGGAGGTCGGAAGACGAGAAAGGAATTGGTTTGCTGTGACTTCATGGAACTTGGGGACCAAAACTGGGAAGGAGAAAAATTATGAGTTGTGTGGCGAATTCTTGAGACTGGCATCTGAATTTTATGGTCTTCTGGCTGATGGGCAAGCAGAGGAAAACATGGTCTGCAAATCATTGATACTGAGTGTATCTGCAATTATAGCTTCAGAGAATCAGAGAAAGACTACATTGTCTGAAAGTGAAGTGAAACAAGCTCTAGAGCTTCTAGATAGAACAGGGAAGGTATGGATTAACTAATTGTATGCTTATTTCTTGCAAGCATTTGATCTGTTGATTTTTCCCAACTCATCATATGAATTAGCTGATATGATCTATGACTTGTAATAACTTGACCTTGAGGATTTGCTTTGTTCTTCTAATGGGATTTTGTATGGATGCAGATACTAAAATCAATCTTACCTGGGACTCAACTTAATGGTGATCAACTCACCACCACTGAGCCTGATCTTTACTTCATCTACACCATTTGTGCCTATGATATCCATGGAAGACTCAATGACTCAGGATCACAACTAAAACTTGTCCAGAAATTTACCAGTTCAAAGGCCCACAACCCCAAGCACCTCCTTCAGATTGGCATCAGCGCTTCACAAGGCCCGCGAACCAATCATGAAGTAGCCACCTTTGCTCTAAACGAATGCCTTTCAGCTTTCCTCTCTTCCTCATCACCAGACTACCAAAATGTGGCTCTCATCGTTCGAAGGCTCATCGGAGTAACGAGCATTCACAAGGGGGATACAGATGATGAGGCTGTTTACGGAATGTACAAGCAAGCTTACAGAGTAATGGTGGGACTAAAGGACAGCGAGTATCCAACCGAAGAGGGAAAATGGCTGGCCATGACAGCATGGAACAGAGCATCACTGGCTGTGAGGCTTGGGCAGACTGATGTGGCCAGGAAATGGATGGATGTGGGTTTGCAACTTGCTAAGCATGTTCCTGGAATGGAAACTTATAGGGCATGCATGGAGGATTTTATTAATGACTTTGAAAAGAGATTTTGTGCCCCAAATGATGGTGAAAGAAAAATAGACTCAGCTAGGAGTATAATATAATGTGTGCAGCTTGTATAGAAGATGGTAGACATTATTGTAAAGAAAATTATGGGTGCATACAACACTTAGTCCCCGAAGCTAATCATAATTAGACAAGCCTAAGACTAATCACAATTCGAGTATCCAATTATCGTTCATGTTGTTAATCCTAATTTGTTAATTTTGTATTAGACTCGTATTGTATCTATAATTACTATCTCTACACATATGAAGCTCTAAATATTTTGATGTCATGTTACAAATTGTCATTTTTGCTATTTTATAGAAGACCTATAAAGAGTTTATAGCTCAAATGGTTGTACTCAGTTTCCTATATTTCAATATTGTTTGTATTAAAATAAATAAATAAATAAAGCACCGATCCAAAAGTATATAATGGGGATGGACTTTTGGGTCATGGGCCGGTTTTAGTAACTACCCAAAATCGACCGACCAAATCATCTTTTCCCTTCTTGGCCTTATCCCCTCTCCTCCTCTCTGGTATCGTCTCCGATGGACTCTCTTTCCATGATCCTCTCCTGCTCTCCACCACTGCAGAACCACCTAAAAACCCAGAAACCAGTCACCTCAGGACCAATCTCTCTTCCCCAAAACTCCACCTCTACCTCCATTGTTGCTTTTCAACCATTCAATTCTTCTCAACTTCACTTTCCCTCCACCAAAAACGACCTTCAGCCTCAATCCTCAAAATCTGTCCAAAACCCATCTTTGATTCTCAAAACCTCTCCTTTTTCACAAGGCTTAACAAGAAACCAGCTTTATTTTGTTCTCACCGAGCTCATTACAACTACTGCATTCACTCTTCCTGGTTTTGCTTCTGAAGCTGCAGTCTCCTCGACTGAGCAAGTTTCTGACAGAATAAACTTGGAAGCAACCTTAGTCTCCATTGATGACTTTTTCAATCGAAACCCTTTTTTTGTTGCTGGCTGTACATTCGTTTGGCTGGTTGTTATACCTCTGGTTCAAGAGTATTTGAGAAAATATAAGTTTGTTCTCGTCATTGATGCATTTCGGAAACTCCGAGACGACCCAAATGTTCAGCTTTTGGATATTAGGGATGAGAAGAGTTTGAAGTATCTGAAGTCTCCAAATTTGAAGATTCTGAATAAGGCTACGGTGGAGGTTCCGTTTTCTGAGGATGATGAAGATGGGTTTGTGAAGAAGGTTTTGGAGAGGTTTAGGAACCCAGCAGACACTGCCCTCTGTGTTCTGGGCAAGTAAGTGTAAAATTTTTGCTATAGCTTTATGTTTTTACTTGGATTTCTGAATTTTAAATACAAAGCTGAAGTTCATGTTGTTCAAAGATAGAAACCATTGCTTAAGTTGACCACCTAGTTAACTCTGGATTGATTGTTTATGTTTGTTCCAAAAATTTGTTTTCTATCTTGGATTAAATGTTTCTGTGCTCTCAGTATCAGCTTATCTTGTTGTAAGGTAGTTTTGATGGTATTTCCATCAAAGTGGCTGAGTTACTGTTCAAGAATGGTTTCAAAGAGGCTTATGCAATCAAGGGTGGGGTTGGAGGCACAAAAGGGTGGTTGGTAAGCTTCTTTTCATTTCTTCTACTTGCTACATTTGTCGTGTTATCTAGGATTAATTTAACTCTAGTTTCTGTCCAAAGAGTTCCATCGATATCAACCGTGGTGTGTTGATGCTTGTGCACATTCCTGTACTTGGTTGATTGATTAAGTCCTCATAAAACATTGGTTGGATGTGTAAGATCAGGATTGAGCCATCCCATCATGTAGTAGAGAACTCTATAATCCTCTATTGAGGAACCTTCCCTCTTATCTGTATATGTGTACCAGCACCAAACTCTGTAGACTTCTGTTGTACTAGTAACTGCCTAATTTAAGTAAAATTTCCGTGTTGCCTAGTGAAATGATTGTCTGCATAAGTTTGAAATTTCTTCTGGGCTGTTTTAAAGACCATTCAACAATTGCATAGAACAATTCTGAAGTTACAGTTTTAACTCAAGGAGTTGTATTTTGGCCATTTTTGGTTCTGTTAGATATTGTGTTTACTCTACTTTTTTCCTCCTCAGGAATCACAAGAAACTCTTTTGCCACCATCTATGCATATCTACCCCAAGAAGAAGGTTGAAACTTCACAAAAAACTGGGATGAATGGAGGAGTTGTTCGGGGCAATGAAGACAGCAATGGTGCTGCCTCTGCTGGAAGTTTTTCCATAGAAGAAGGTCAAAGGACGGACAATGGACGCACGGCCAAGTCTACAGACTCCGTGTCACATGTGAAAAATGGTTTTAGATCATCCTCTCCCTACCCAAATGTATGTTCACCTTCTCTTTTATGACTAGTTACAAGAAAACTACTGATCCTTAATTGTTTATGCCATATTGGTGGGTGGATTCGCACATTCAGATGCAGCTTAAAATTCCTTTTCTAATAGGATTCCTTGATGATAGCTTTTCCAAATCACATTCTACATAAACATTTGTCTGTTTGTGTGTATATTAGCTTTTTTGTGTTTTGAATGCAGTACCCAGATTTGAAACCACCATCTTCCCCAACTCCATCGAAGCCCTGAAATCGATAACATGAAGCGGCGTCTCCTGTTGGGCGAAGCAAATTTTTTTAACAAGTTTTGCCAATCATTAGTTCTATATCTATCAGATGGGAGAGGGTATTGAGAAATGAGTTCTGTTGTATCCCTTAGTTGGCAGTAAATTGTTAGTTCTGATTTTCCGTATCAGCTGTATATTTGATTTTGTCATTAATGTAACCTGTACTAAAATTGTGATTATTCAAGTGGAATTGTGTTCAGAAACAAAAACCATTCCAAAATTTTCAAGTGCATCCATCTCACAGTATTCAATCTGAGCCTTTACACATGAACGACAAGTAGCATACTTTGTAAGTAAACGACACCTCCCGACTCCCTTGTAAACAGACGACATGTCGTATGTATCATATTGAGGACGGATTTGAGCAAAATTCCAGACCCCATCGAATTGTTTAAGAACCGTGACCCAAAACCACAAAATACCCATCAACCCAGCATTCACAATTGCAATCAAAATCGAAAGGAACCCACTTTTCGCTTCAAAATTTTAATCAATCAAGCGATTTATGGATGCTCTGTCGTGGGATGGAACCCTCACGTCACGTGACTTTCTTGTTTCTGCACGTGCTTTTGCCGAGAAATGGAAGGAATTCAACTCTGCCTTCTCTCCATGGACGTGGGTTCCTTGTCCTCCTAAACAACCACCTTGCCATCTCCCTCAGTTGTTGCAGCAGGGCTACTTGTCACTGGAGAAGATATGCCTTCCTGGGTCAAGCAAGAAAGGACACGTGGCTTCTCAGGTAATCAAGGCTTCATGAGCTTCTTACGTTAGCGTTTAGCAGAGTTTAATGATGTTTTGAGCTCTCATAATTTGTTAATGTTCTTTTACAGGAAGATGTTGATGAAATAAGTCTTACTGAGGGAGAAGAGGAGCTTGAGCCTGTTGATAATGCCACACTGGTAATGTATTGTGATTGCTTTCTTTTCTTGTTAAAACACCGTTTTTCGTTTAAATTTGCACCCCGTTATCAATCTTGCATTTCTTTTTCCTATTTGCAAGGTTGAGACCAACAACAGTCTACAAGTATGTTACTATGATTTCCATATAGTGTACAGCGATTCGTATCGAGTTCCGGTACTGTATTTTCGCGGTTACTACATCGGTATGTTAATCTGTTTTTAGGAACTTAAAACTAAATTTAATGAATCACTTATGAACACTGAGTTCATTCTGATTTTTGTGAATGATATAGATGGTCAGCCTTTGGCATTGGATGAAATTGAAAAAGACCTACCTGCATGCTCAGCAAAGGTGTTACTGGAATCAAAATGGACATTTATAACTCAGGAGGTGCATTTTCCCAATATCATTGCAACCATTTCTTTCTCTTAAATCTCTGGATGCATTCTTCCTATTTTTGGGAGCTGCCAATATTTAATTAAATATCTGAATGTGGTATACATAGGAGCAACCTTACCTGAACAGACCATGGTACAAGTTGCATCCATGCGGTACCAGTGAGTGGATGAAGCTGCTTTTCCTCGGCGATGATTTTCGGGCTAAAAATGGAGTAGCAGTTGAACAATATTTGGTGTCTTGGCTCTCAGTTGTTGGTCAAGTGGTTGGTATTAGAATCCCTTTTGAAATGCTGAACAATCCTAAAAGTTGTAATTGAACATATCTGCTCTATGAACATGAGTTGAAAATGTTCATGCAAAACTTAGAAAACTGGAAAAATTATGGATCAAATTATGTACTTGTTCATCCTTACAATTACAGAAAAGCCTTTTCAAATAAGCTAATTCATGAATTTCAAGTAACGTCTAGACCCCGGGCTGTAACTCTACGCTGTAACTCAATTTAATTGTCAATGGTATGCCGCCCCATCTTCCATTGCATGATACTCCTTAATGGCAGGTTTGTATTTAGGGTAATTGAACAGATTCCGTCGTATTTAGCATTTTAAGTTCATCCTCACTTTTCTTAGCTGTCCGAGTAAAGTGAACAAGAAACTCTGTATTTCCCTCAGCACCCTTAAGAGGAGACTCAATCCATCCTTTGCTGGTAAATCCGAAATTCTCTACACCCTTGATAATCCTCTCAAGAACCTATACAGTAAAACTTAACCAATATCAGGCTATATTTCATTTACTCACCAGAAAATAGTGGATAAAGCATTTATTCCACTTTCTGTTAACAGTTGTCGTGGAAAAAGAACCTTAACAGTTGTTATCAATTAAGGCTACATAAACAGCTGTTATGGAGAAAGAATCTTAACAAAAGGATGAAAAATAAAATCTTATTCCCTTTTAGATATTAGGCTGAAAGAAACCAAATATAAACAAGGAAGAAATACTTACTTCTTGATGGACTAATGGATCTCGCACAATCCCACCACTTCCTACCTGCAAAGAAAATGAAATTCTGAATTTAAAACAAATGCTTATTTAATGTTTTCTGGATAATATTGATCCTTCTCAAAAACTATTGATAGCTAACATGCATGTTATACAGAAAACAAAACAAAATATGCGCAAACTATATAGAAATTGTTCCATGCATCGAGCATTATAAACGGTAAGGAAAGTTTATACATGTAGAGTCTGCAGACCTATAAAAGTCTCTCTACACTTTATGCAAGGCTTAGTATGAAGAAAAAAGTTTGTTTGATCAAAGCTAGTTTCTCATACAGAATGGTGAATGCATATGCCAAGGAAATAGTCATTATTCTGGAACATCCAGAAGTAAATGCATAATGCTTGCATAATTACCTGGTCATACGGGTTTTCTTTAAATATAAAATAGCAGTTAAATTGGCATTGATGTTATAGCCAAGATAAGAAAGGTATCTCCTTCCTTATATTGATATCTCTTCTATACTTTCTAATTTATAGTAAAAAACTAAAGGTTGATAGAAGACAACTTTCTTACTTGTGATCTGCGAGCTTCGAATTGAGGTTTGACCAGGGTGACTAATGACGACTCTTCCTTCATTACCTTGATTACAGCAGGCATGACCTGCTTCCAAATAAAAATAAGTCGTAACCCAAGTGTAAAATCCAGGAAATTCATAAATAAATAAAAGAACTTTTGTTTTCCTTGGGGGATGGCACATAGAGAACACTTAAGAGTGAGATGAACAGTAAATCCTCGGGGTGGCTCCTCACAGAAAATAAAACAAAGATTGAAATCGCCCAAAGAAACAGACACATGACAATGGTAACTTTACTAATGTTTGAAAGCTTACCAATAGAATAGAGATGAACGAGAGGTCCAAAGTCACCAAATCAACTCTTTGTGGGAGTCCAGGAAGGTGTCTTAAATTTGTTCGTTCTATCACACTAACACGTTCATCTGTTCGAATTTTTTCTGCCACCTAATGAAGCCAGCATGCATAAGTAATCAAGAAACACCAATGACAAAACTGCAGAGTAGAAGAATATCATAGAGAAGTATGGGCACAGGCCATTGTAATCTGTATTTCTATATTCGGGAAAAGTAGTGAAAAAATGCACCTCTACTGATAAACATACACTTTTAATTAATGGAACAAAGCCTGATTTGCTACCAAATAATTGTATTACCTGCCCATAACCTACATCAACTCCATAAACAAATGATGCACCATACTGAAGTAAACAGTCAGTAAATCCACCGGTTGACAACCCTGAATCAAGAGCTATTTTGCCAGAAACATCAATACCTAGCTGTTCAATGGCAGCTTCTAACTTGTGTCCTGCTCTGGATGGACAATATAAGAACAAATTAGCACCTGAGGTCTTGCTAAAAGTTAGTGCAGAACGAATCTTAGTATAAACGAAGTGAAAGTTGGTTTGTCAAAGTAAAGTAATCACCTACATACATATTTTGGGACTTCAGCCATTATCTGTACAACAGCTTTGTCAGAGACTGGAGTCCCCGCTTTGTTAACCACCTTTCCATTTACAAGTACTTTCCCTACACCAACAAACATGAACATCTAAAGTTAACTCCCTACAATGTTATATTATATAACAGCACATATACAAGATGATCGCAAATTTTTACAAACATACATGATTAACTGAGAGTGTCATAATAATCCTGAACTATGCAGCTGAAGTTGAATGCAAACCAACTTAGAACTTTCCCCGCCTTGTTTTAATGAGTGGGGTTTTGTAATTAACTGTATAGCTCACCTTGTATGATCCATGATTGTATGAAGGTTCGGCTATATTGCTGATACCTTTCCAGGCATACCTCATCTAGCCTCCTCTTCCTGAAATTGTCATTTTCCAATCGCAATAGTGAATATATTAATATAAATGGGTTCACTGGAACTCAACACTAATTGCAAATGGGTTAAATTATACATATTGGGTTTGACAAAAAAGCTTACTTCTTTGCTGGTTGAACCTCAGCAGCAAAGCTTCTATGTATTGGCACTCCGACCCATCTTGCTGAAAACAAAACCAAGTCTAGAAAATTAGAGATTTCAACTGTTGGAGCAAAATAATAGAGATTAAACGAGGAAAAAAAGCCAAATTTATTTGTTCAGTTTCCATGAAAGCACAATAAGACAGCGCCAAATGACAGAACGTTAGGTGCTTGTGAAAATTACCCAATGAAAATGAAGAAAATAGAAGGTGCTTTCGAGAATCATGTAATAGAAATAACTCCGTTGGAGAGGAAGAGAGGAGTACCAGGGAGCTTATGATGTGAGTTGGACTGGGATAAAAGGAAGAAGCTTGAAGTTCTGCAGAAACGGCGGGAGATAATGATGTGATTTGGGAACTTGAGAAGCTGAAGTGCCATCTCTGACTCCGCCCACGGCTTGTGGTGACTACCCGTTTGAGTAGTTTGTTCTTGGCGGTCGGATGGGTTTGGGTTTATAATTGGGCTAGCGTTTTTATCATGGCCCAAGATTTGCTTTTGGTTTTTTAGCTTTAAATCTTAAAAAAGATTCCAAATTTTATTCTTTATAGCTTTAAATCCTAGAAAAGATTCCAAAGTTTACACCTTTTTAACAAATTTACGTACACCAAATTGTACATTGTTCTGTTGTTTTTTTGTCATTTGTTAAGGAGGGGATGGAGAGAGTATTATATTAGGTTGTCTCAAGATTGTCTTTTATGTGAATTGAACTCAGATGCACTTATGGGAAATGGGGAGAGTTTGGCCCATTTTATAACAAAAGTTTAAAGTTAAGTTCTTTAACTCCTAAACATTGACAAGTAGTATGTTGGTTGTTTTATTTTGTGACAGAAAATAATCAACCAAAACTTAATTTATACTGTAAACTTGAAAAATATGTGTGTATGGTGTTACACAGCAGATGAGGACCAGAAAATGTCTATCCCGAGAAGCTTGGGCCATCATTGTATGCAACCAGCAGTTAAAACAGCCATTCTCTCCCGCCTTGCTACCGTTATTACAGTTTACAGAAGGACTAAGCACCAAACATGGCAACCCAAGCCAAAAGCCCTTCTCTTTGTTATTCTCATAAACTTCAATGCTTTCTTCACAATCCTGTTCCTGCATCACTCTCACTTGTTGGCAATGGCAAGGCTCACAAGAAGGCTCCCAAATTTAGTTGCAGATCCAACGGCAACGATGTATGGTTCCTTGTTTGATTTAATTCGATGACACAAAAAATTTTACATTTGTTAATTTGCGTACTTTTTATTGATGCCTTACTATGTTGTTTTTTTGTGCCAGGATTATTACATAGATGCTCCTGTTGAAGTGGGTGATGGCTTTAGTTTCAGTGGAGGTGCTTACTACTTGTTAATTCTCTTCCCAAATCCAAATATCACTCTTCTTTTCTAGCTTTTTTAATGGTCGAAATTTAGGGAAGCTAATTGAAAATGTGGGTGCTTTTGACAGGAAAGTATTCGGATGGGCCAAGCCCTTCTGATGAATGGTTTAAGCAAGGGAAGATAGTGAGTCCTCTTCCTATTTTTCTCTCTTGTTTTTTCCTTTTTATTACTTCTGCTAAATTAACCATTTAAAAGCAAATTAAAAAACCTATTTAGTTCAACCTTCGAGTATGTTTTGGGTGAAATCACATCATATGTTTGTTGTATTGCGTAGTTTTGCAGTGTATCTTATTAGGATACCATTTTTTTGTTTGATCATTTTTTTTCTTCTTGTAGGTGAAAGCTTATGCTGCTTTTGGTTCCGGTGAGAAGGCAAAAGACCCCATTTTTGGACTTGCAATGGGTGCTGATTCTCAGGCCTCCACTGATATTTTCAGGTAATTTGTAAATTAGCTTTAGGAGACTAGTACCAGCTGACATGTTCGAAACATGATAATTTAGTCTTTATTTATATGTTTCCGTGGCATGCAGACCATGAGATTGAATTATTTGCAGGGTTTATCTATATACATGATTTTGTTCAATAGATGGTTTTGCGTTGAATCCGGAAGTGCTGATAACCCTTCAGTTATATTAATTCATGGTTTCCCTTCTCAGGTGAGTGAGTCTTAATTTGTCAATGTAGGACGGCTTCTGCAATATTTTTGTTGTATCTGTATGATGCATTTCAAATGTATGTTTTTACTTGTGAAATCCATTTTCAAGTTCCCATCTATAGATATATAAATGTCTTCATACTGTTCTGTTTCTTTAACATTAATGCTAACTTTGTAGATGTTGGATGTGCAATTGGATCTAATAGCATATAGTTTCCAATTTGTAAACTTCATAACAATAATATTGATGTGGATTGCAAGATATAATTTGATTAACTATTGTAATTAGACTTGGTTCCTTATTCATAAATGTGTTCAAATCATCAGGCATACTCTTACCGCAAAGTTCTTCCCATGCTTTCTAAAGACTATCACGCAATTGCTTTTGATTGGCTGGGTAAGATCATAGCTTTAGCTTACCCTGAGTTGTAATTGAAATTCTCTATTTTACTCCTTTTTTAGCGGTTGAACATCAGTGATTTCTTCTTCTTCAGTTGATTTTAGGTAAATTATGGGAAAATGATTTTGGAATATGTGCTCTGAATATGGATTTACATATATATAAATATACATAGCAAGAATAAAACTTCTTGTGCAATTTTAGTTTGGCTTTGCTTGCAAAGCAGTTCAATGGCTTCAGAAGTTCATGTTACATTGCATCTCGTTATGATTCCGACTGTATGCTAAGCCGGAACATTCCTGTGTCCTTCCCTTCAACTACAGGCTTTGGATTTTCAGATAAGCCTCAACCCAAATATGGTTTTGACTACACTCTGAATGGTAATTTCTTTTGGTTCCCTTCAGTACTAATTTCATATCCAAAGTAACGAAACTCTTGTTTATGTCGAGTTTTGTTATGGATTGCAGAGTTTGTATCATCCTTGGAGTCATTTATTAATGAAGTTGCTGTTAACAAGGTCACACTCGTTGTCCAGGTATTTGATTTCCCACTGAATGTATAAACATGTAGCAGGCTACATTAGTTATTGCATAACATGCAACTGGAAAGAACTTCTGATCTTCGATGTGCTTCTCAGGGATACTTTGCTCCAGTTGCTGTTAAATATGCTAGCAGCCATCAGGAAAAGATTGACAACATAATACTCTTAAACCCTCCTGTATGGATTCTCCAGAAATCTGCCATTCATTTTCATTGTTTTTGCATTTTCTACCGATACTTTATCGTTTCAATACTGGGTCTAACAGAAGATTAATTAAGCCAGTACCTACATAGGTGGTCAAATTGCAGAATTTTTGTGAGGTTTTCATATTTTAGCACTCACTTCCTTATATCTCAAGAAAAATACTAATGTTTCTCAAGGTTCCCTTGAAATGGCAATGACCTTTATAGATATCTGCATTGACTGCCCTTAGGACTTTCCTGATACAAGAAATGTTATGGTGATTATTTTTCTCCTGATTATGAAGTAGAAATTGGCAACTAGGATCAAGATAGGCTTCTGCCACATGGAAATTCTATCTTTTTTTTATCTTTTTTATTTGATTGTGTATATGATGCATGCCATAATGCTTTCTTACTGCATTAGGAACAAATTCGGGCTGATGATAGTGATGTACATATTGATTTCTTGGCTATTGAGAACGACGTTTAATCAATATGATCTTGATCCTGTGTTTTCATTAAAGCTTACAGCGAAGCATGCCAACCTTCCATCAACCTTGTCCATATTCAGCAACTTTTTGTTAGGGGAAATATTTTCTCAGGTAGGAAGGTTGTTTTATAGTTTCGTACTTTATCTAACATGTCTGTACACTTAATTTGTGTGCATTTCTGTGCTTATACATTCAAATTAGCATGCTTGTCTGTCTTTATATATGTCTTAAGATATTTTCTGCTTTGTTGCTCGAGAAAGAAATTATTCCATGTCAACTTGATCTTGCTTCTTTCTGTGCTAGGATCCTCTAAGGGCTAGTGATAAAGCCTTGACGAGTTGCGGACCTTATAAAATGAAAGAGGATGATGCAATGGTTTATAGAAATCCTTACCTCACATCTGGGGCATCTGGGTTTGCATTAAATGCAATTAGCAGGGCCATGAAGAAAGATTTGAAGGTGAACCTTCTTCTTATCATATTTGATTTAAACATACATCATCTTTTGTTTGGTATAGAATGGCTTTTCTGGTTACATGGTAGCTCCAATGGAAAAGGGATTCTTATATTGGATGAAAGCAGAATCAGTTTTCCATGAAAATAGGTCATTAAGCTGCTAATGCTGTTTCTTGTGCTGAGTTTGGCAGAAATATGTGGAAGAAATGAGGACTACACTATCAGATGAAAATTGGAAAATTCCAACTACAGTATGTTGGGGTAAAAGAGACCGCTGGTTGAGTTACGATGGAGTCGAAGAATTTTGCAAGGATTCGAAGCATAAGCTTATTGAAATTCCTATGGTAACAGCTTATGAACATATGCAGGAGAAGTTTTAGCTTTACACAGACATAAACACATGCACATTGCTATTTTTGTGCTATACTTTGCTTAACATAAAGATAAAGTAGAAAATAATTACTGTTGCTGTATTGATATTGTTCAATTGTTTGAGGTTGTTAGTTTTGAGAACTCATGCAATTTGTTTATTGGGGTTTTCAGGCAGGCCATCATGTGCAGGAAGATCGTGGCGAAGAACTTGGAGAAGTCATTAAGGGGGTTATAAGAAGAACCCGCTTAAATTTGTGATACTTCTGTGATAGCATATTTTTATTTTTATTTTTCTTGACTCAGCCAAATTGAGAGAACTAATTTATTCATAAAAATATGTGAATGTACAATACGACAAGAAAGACGGTAAATTCTGTTCTCATTTCTTGCTATCCAGAATTGAATTGTGTATAAACTTTAATTTGTAAAAAGAAAAGAATAATTCTCAATTACAAGTTTACATGACTGTAGTAGCATACATTATTAGGCTGTTAGGAAAAGAAAAAAAAGTATACATTAAAAGGTATTGTGAATGCTGTAGTTGGTCAGAAATCAATCTCTTTGGGGTAAAAATTCCAGGGGCTGCTAAGAAGCACTAGTTTTTACTCTGTTGTGGTGTCTTTTGGTATGGATCCCAGCAATTATCTTCTCTAACTGCCTTTTTCCATCTGTTCTTGAAAATTTCCAGTTCAACAAAGGATAGCTTCCTTACCTGAACAATATAGAGGCAAGATCAATGAATCAAAGAATGCGAAGCTAGGATAATAATTGGTGCATGAAAAAATCATTACAATTCTTACCTCAGTTCTAGGGTCCGATGGAGATGATGATGTCGATGCCTGCAAATTCAAAGTTGTTAACCATAATTTAGACAAGTTAAAATAGCACATTAATTTTGAATGTTTTGATTAGATACCGGTTGTTCTGAACTAGGCAAGCTTATAGTTTTAGCAGCTTGATCAGGTGCTTCTGCATTTGTCTGCATTGGTGATTATCATCATTAGTAATAGTGAGTGATAAATAGATTATACAAATACTTAAGTTAATACACACAAACACAGAGTTATTTGTATTAAGTTTCTAACCTTGTTTGGTGCCAAACCCCCCAGTGTAGGAAGACCATAATGAACAATGTACTCAGAATCAACGATTCCGATATTTTTCGTTCGATCACCCTGTCAAGTATTGATTCAGACATAAGAAATATGTGGAAGAGAAAAGGTGAAAAAGAAAGAAAAATGTATATAAAGGATGGGGAAATTGCCTGTGCACAATAACCAAGCTGGAAATCCAAGCCCCATGCATGAACTAAGTCATTCTGTTTATCAGGGAAAGAAAATTAAGAAAGGAGATAATTAAATGCTAAAATTTTGAGGATCCCCAACTGAAATCTTACTAAAGTAACATAAAAATCTTATGCATTAACCAAAATCAGATTATTGAGGTTAAATTTACATCAAGCCTCAGTGTCATACCTGAATCATATGCCACACACAGCGCCAGGATGCTCTTGAAAAAACAGGAGCCATCATTTCTACAAACCTGCCATATGTATTAACTCTCATTTCAATCTATCCCCAGATTCATATGTATTCTTGTTATCATTGCAGAACTTTAAGCTTATTGACATGTAGGATATACTGAGCGACATACAAAAGACACGCACACACACATTCATGAATTGATACACGTGTGAGTAAAATATACACGTCTATGTATGTGTTTGTGTGTGCAAATTTAGTACCCTGTGCATGGCGGATCCGTGCTGTTTTGATCACACCTCCTTCCACCACCAATTAACTTGTTTATCTTCCTATTAATGCATCACCAACCACAATAAAAGTAGCAAGTCAGGATACATAAGATAGATACACTTACTTCAATTGAAATGGAAGAAAATAGTGAAGAATCTACTGTGACTAAAACAATGTGTACATAAGCATCACTAGGGCCTGCAGAAAATCAAACCTGTGTACTTCTGTTCTGTTGTCTCTTGCTGTAAGATCATGATGGACCTCTGAGTTCTCAGGATCAAGTGCTGGCTGTGATATCTCAAGCCCCTCTTTTCTAATAATTGATAAGTATCTGCATCGAAGAAATTGAATCTCTGAATATCAACAAAAATGTCTACTGAATAAATATTTAGCACCAGATGGTTTCTTCTTTCTTCACAACATGAATGCAAGAAACATTCAAACATGTATGAGTTCACATACCTTCCAACATTGAAATTTTCAATTCCAAGGTCCTCATCCCAGAGGAAGAGGAATGCATATTCAGAAACAATATCAGGATGTAGGAAACGCTTTGCATACCACCTAAGTAAAAAAGGAAATAACCTAACCGGGTTACTAGAACTGACTAGGAAAATCTGAGCAAGTGCAAAACTCAGTTAGAGTTATGGCTAAGAACCATTACCACTTGGTTTGATTCATAGCAGACACATGTATGGCACGACCACTCCATTCCAAATCCCTCCACTCATTTACGCGACCATCATAATGAAAAAGCATCACAACAAAATCACTTAAGAGGAACTGCAAGAGCGAAGTGAAGGGAGAAATTAAATCCAATGAATTCAAAGACAGGCAGAACAAAACCAGGGTATGACAAACAATTGGCCTCCTTTACCTTCTTTACAATCTTGTTCACACTTTCCTTTTGCTTTATTCCAACTGCAATGGCCAATAAGTTTGTAGATGACTTTGAGTTCTAAACAAAAAGAGTGCAGAGCATATATTAACATTCAAATCAGATTACTTACAGCCCTATTGAGTGCAGCCGGATGAGATTAAAATCAAAACTAATTATCAAATTGTTCAAGCTGCCTAATCAAAATCTATATTACCACTAAAATCAACATAGAAACATCGGCGTGATACCTTTTTATTTCGGGGTCCCCATAATGGTTGCATTAGCAAGTCAGAGGTCTTGGAAACAATCCCTTTTGGTAGTGCCTCAGTTCCATCAGGCCTGCAGTGAGTCTAAATATGTATGACAGCATTAATCACAACAACAAATTACAAATGTCAACCATTATACAAAATTTGAAGAGAAATCGTGATCGGTAGCTACAAACCTCACAGTTCTTGGATATTGTATATTGCATAGCATCAACCAATCCCCATTCTAAAAACTTCTGTTGAATAAATTTTAATGCCTTATTAGTACCAAATTTGCAAAACCATCTAATCATTTCATACACACAATGCAATCAGAGTGGAGAGATCACCTCTTTATAATCAGTGAGAACACACTGGCTCCCAAAGAAGAAAACTGCAGAAAGCATAGCAATAGTAGAAAGGAAACAGCAGCTAAAGAACCTCCCCCTTGTTGGGTCCTTGTGATAAATCTGAATGCAAGTGGGAAGAGGAGAGCAAGCATGTGAACCAAAAAGTTTAAAAGGGTAAGTCTTCATCATCCTCTAGTATAAGATTGGACAGAGAAATCCACAGAAAACCAACTGAAAACCCAAATTCTAGTTGATCAATCCAAAGAACTTTTAAAATAAAAAATTTAACAGTTTTTAAGAGAGAGAGAGATGGCAAAAGGGACTTACAGAAGTGGACATCATCATCTCCAAGTTGAAAAAAACTATAGCTCCTTCTCCTTGGTATCAATAAAGAAACAATTCTCAGTTCAGAGATTGAGAGAAATGAGAATGGTGATGGGAAGAAACTATTATAATTTTATATTTGGATGCGATAATTAATTCAGGTTTGTCAACGAAGCTTGAAAAGCAGTGCAGCAACTGAGGCGGCCTACGTTACTTCTACCTACAAAAAAGGCTTAAACCACTCCAATTATCTCAGTGGCAGCCAGGCCAGTTTTCAAATAAAGTGAGCACTTGATGCCACTTGCCCATCAACAGCAGCCAAGACGCGGGAAGACTGGCTAATGCGTTCGGCACAAGCCCACTTCAACTGATATTGTTCTTAAGCACATTAGATTCATAATTAATTTAAATAAATATTTCACTTGATAATTGCATTTAATCTATAAACTTTTAGCAGAAGGCAAAGTTTATTAGTTACGTTCAAGAGCTGTTAAGTATTAATTTGTCACACAATTACCCTAATATCAGTTTGTTCTTCTTTTCCCTTTATATTTCACTTGGAAATGTTTACACAAGGTTATGAACTTAGGAGTAAACATTAAGTTAACAACACCTTTATTCCACATAAATCCCCAATTAACGGACATAGACATGGATCTTGTCAAATCACAAGGATGACGTCCGCCTCTAGGCCATAGCATAACTAGAGAGAAGATAACTTTTAAACATCATATGCAACAACTACCATCTAGGGTTGATTTTCGGATGGATCGGAATTAGGGGATTCTAATTCCAATTATGTTCCTAAAAAAATTCAGAATTTCATTATCCGTTTCAAATCAGAAAACTTATAATTAACATATTTCAGGTTTTTCTTGGAAAATTTCAGAAACTAGTTCAAAATTCTAAACATGCCTAACCATTTGAAGGATTAAAATTGACTCAAAATTGAAAACTCATACTATAAGCTTGGAAACTATTATATGCTAGTACTTAGATGTTATTATCCTTTCGGAATCTCTAGATACATTCCAATTCCAATCCAATTTTTTAATCCAAATTTTCGTATTTCAAAACTTTCAAATGTCGAAATTAATTTGAACTTGACAAAATCAGAAATTTTCGTAACCGAATTGGTCGGAATCAGGTTTTCCAATCCAACTTGCACCCCTACCAACTCTACTTTCGCTTATTTACCAGCTAACTAGGAAATGAGTAATTCTTTGACGTGAATGTAACTAGGAAATAAACTTTTGTCTATTTACTAATTATTTGTTATTTACTTGGTAGTAATTCTGTGATCGTTGATGAGGTGACGCTAGGTGCTCTAATAAAAACTGTGATGTTAATCAATAGACTAACCATGGCAAAAGAACATACTATCTGTAAATCAACGAAATTTGTGTTCCAAGTATTAAATTGTCATTTTCATCCATGGTATTTGTGAGTCTACAACTTAACAATTAGTTTCAAAACACAAATTGCAGTTAACTAGTGAACAAAATTTCACCTACGAAGATACATGCATCTCAATATCAGCTGGTTCGAAGTTGAGACAACTGGTTTGCAACTCAAAATTTTTTTTCACTGGATTAGAATATATTAGGTTTTTTATTTTTATTTTTAAAACTTGTTATTATTAAGATGAAGACCAATTAAGAAGGAAGATGAAATATCAACATGATCAGAACACGTGTCTCGTTGCTCATCGTCAACCTATGACAACCTTTTCATGATAAAGTTATCAAGCATATAATTATGAGTGGTCCACTAACAATGTCACACAATTTTATTTTTGGACGAAACAATGTCACACAATTTTGAATTATGTTTGGATATAAAGATGTTATATATGAATCATGATGGCCTTTTTCAGACCCGACCAAATAAAATTCTACATATTCATTTCAATCGATGCATACATGAAAAGAAGAAATGTCCTAGGCTCCATTGTTTGTAGAAAAATATAAATTAACGATAATGCCCAGAAAAGCAACATATCCTGTTATAGAATGGGACTCCAAATTTGCTAAAAAAAATATGTGAAATGAGAATAGCATTGTTTTATTATTTTTGACTAATCATACTATGTCAAGTAGAAAAATTATTACGCACGTCACATCGTAATTTTGCACGCAAGTATTTCTAATAAACTTGAGGCATAAAAATAACGAATACGGTTATCTATTCTTTAATGTATAGCTCAAATGTTTGGTAATATGGTTGCATTTAAGCTTATAGCCCACCATTATTAATCAATATTTTGTCGAAATTGCATTTCTATATGAATATAGTAGTAAAATAATAAGAGTTTCACTAATACACCCAAAATAGGGGCTGAAATTATAAAAAAACCCAACATGAAAAACACTTCAGAAACACACCCAAAACCATTTACACTCAAAATCCATTTATAAACACACCCAAAAAATATACAATTGTTGATTTTTGGGTTGATTTTGGGTGTGTTTCTATGTTTTAAATAGTGTTGGATTTTTTTATAAATTCATGTATAGAATTGAGTTTATTTATAAATTTGTATAAAATAATACATTTCTGAAATAAACTCACTAATTCCAATCTAGAACTCTTATTATTGGTAATAGTTTACCCTAGGGCTGGGCATCTGAAGCTGAAGAACCAAAACGAACACGTTTCGAGTCATACAGTACTGAACTCGTGCCGTTTAGCTGCATTTGCTATGATAGCGAACTGTATCAACCTTGTATGGCACGGGAGCGGTACCAGATATTTGATATTGTTACATCTTGTACCTTATTGAACAGTGTTTAATTCTAATTTTTATATTTTTATTCACACTCTCTCTCAGCCTCAAATCGATAGGGTCCTCAATTAAAGGAAAAAAAAACTCACTATCTCTCAATCTCTCTCTGTCTCACTCTCTCACCCCATTCAATAATTCCAAAACCCAAACCCCAATCGATCATTCAATCAATTCAATCCCCAAACCAAACCCTTCTTGTCTCAGAGACGCATGGTTAAAGAAAAAAAAATATATATATATCTCTCACGTTTTGATGGATTCTGAGTGTTTGGTTGGTGAGAAACTGTGGGAAGGAAGATTGGATTGCATAAGTTTATGTTTTGTCATTTATGTATTTGGAATCGGATTGCATCATTTATGTAGTTTCTGTTCTGTCAAAATTTATGTGTGTTTGTAAGTCATAAGGCATTGAATTGCATAAGTTTTTATGTGTTGAATGTTTATAATGCTTGAATGTTGTTGAATTGATGAATTAGCAGGTATTTGATTGATATGCTGATTGGCATTGATGAATGGATGTAAATTTTGCTGCTGTTTGCAACTAGCAACAATGGTACCGAAATGGTACAGTTTCATTTTGGAACCTACCAAAGCTCTCCGATATGGTTTGATGGTATGGTTTGATATCAAACACTGCAAACGCCAACCCCGTACCATACCGTATTGTTTGCAAGTTTCGTTATCGGGAAGTGATCAATACCGTACCGGACCAGGGGCAAGCCTAGTTGACCCAATAGGCCAAAAAAAAGTATACAATTAAACTTAGCATTTTACGTTTTGGCCCCCTTCCTCTTAAAATCCTAGTTCGGTCTTTGACTCAATCATTGACGTCTATAATTGACTAGATGCATTGTGGGATGCACACTCAATCACTGTATGACCGTGAATTATTGATGCATGCATTGGCGGATCCATTAAAGGTCCAGTGAAGGCACTTGCCCTCACTCAATTATATTATTTATCTATGAAGGTGCCATTTTTTTATTTTATGAAATTGTGTATTTAATGGGGGCAAATTGTTTGATAAATTGCCTCAAAGAAGTCTACAGTGAGGGGCAAAGGGAGAAACTATTCTACTTATGTTATTCTTCTTGTTCTTTGGACTCACTCTTCTCATTTTTCTGTTTGTGCGGTCAATAGATGAACTAGGTAGAATATGTTGTGTTACTAATTTGTGTATAAATATGTTTATATGATTGTGTTTTTTTTTCCTTATGTTTAGAGTCGACTGATCTTCATTATTAGTGGCTTTGTAGTAGTGTTTTCTTGCCCTCAAGTAAGAAAATTCCTAAATCAGTCACTAGATGCATGTACAAAATGTTACTCATAATCTCATATAGGTGTTTACAGTTACAATGAAATAGCTTACTCAGAAAAGCTTTATCCAATATTATAGATACTAAGGCCCTGTTTGGTACACCTCCTTGGATTGGCTTGGATTGGACTAACTTAAATAACACCCCAAGCCCATGTTTGGTGCAGCTCATCTTTAAGTTAAATGAGACTATATAGTCCTGGCCTACAAAAAACACTTCACTCGTTGGCACAAAATAGAGAACTTTGAGGAGGTGCCACTAAATAACGAAGACGCTATTGAGTCTGCCTTTATCCAACGTTGCTCTGCTCTCCTCTTCTCTTAAACGTTGCTCTGGCTCTCCTCTTCCATGTTGCTTTGTTTTCATCTTCTGTTGTGCTCTACTCTCACTCACTCAGGTTAGTTGTTCAACTTTCTTCTTCTCTTTCCACTCTTCTTCTCTGTTTGTCTCTCTCCTTGGTGATATTTGATGGGTTCAATTTATGGGCCGAGCTGGTGGACTGGGAAGAAGGCCCACGGGGACCACAGCAAGGTCTGAGAGCTGAACAGGCTTAGAAACAGCAGCATAATAGAGTTGATCTTCATGAAAAATGACATTGCGAGAAACGTAGAGCCGACCTGTAGGAGGATGGAGACATCGGTAACCATGATGGCGATCACTGTAGCCAACAAAAACACACTGAAGAGAACGAGGTTGTAATTTGTTAGTTACATAATCTCCAAGATATGGGTAATAAATACATCCAAAAACACGAAGGAACGCGTAATCCGGGGAAATGCCAAATAATAACTTATAGGGAGAAGTCCCTTTAAGGATAGGGGTTGGAAGTCGATTAATCAAAGAAACTGCCGTACAAAATGCTTCGACCCAAAGATTGTGAGGCATATGAGCAGTGTGTAAAAGAGTGCGACCCATATCAGCAATATGACGATGTTTTTGCTCTGCTAACCCATTTTGTTGGGGTGTATGAGGACAAGAAAAACGATGCACAATGCCATTAGTAGCACAAAACTGTTTAAATTGCAGGTTATCATATTCCTTCCCCCCATCACTCTGAAATTGTTTGATAGACAAGGAGAATTGAGTTTTAACATACATAGCAAAAGTAGAAAAAAGACCAAAAACTTCAGATTTAAGACGCATAGGGAAAATCCATGAATAACGAGTGTAATCATCCATAAACAAGACATAATATCGATATCCAGAAACAGAAACAACAGGAGACATCCACACATCTGAATGGATTAAAGCAAATGGCTTAGTAGAGCAATGGTCATGAGACGAAAAGGAAAGTTTTATTGATTTAGATAACGCACAGTGGCTACAAGGGGAAGTTGATAAACGAGAAAGAGAACCTAATAAGGACCGAGAAACAAGTGTGCGAAGAACTTTATTGGAGGGATGACCAAGACGACGATGCCACAAAGAGGACGACGCGACGATAGAAGAAACAGCTTGCTTGGAACTGGACAATAGTGTTGGAAAGATAGGATAAAGACCATCCTTACATAGGCCCTGAAAGAGAACAACACCACGCTGTAAGTCACGAATTTGGTATCCCCAAGGAAAGAAGGTAATACTAACATTCAAATCCCGAGTAAACTGAGCTACAGATAAAAGATTTTTATGAAGGGAAGGAACACGGAGAACATCAGAGAGACGAAAGACAAAGGAACCAGAAGAAAATAGGGGTGGGCACGGTCCGGTTCGGCCCGGTTCTCCCTTAAACCCGAAACCGAAACCGGTACTGTTCATTCGGTTCGGTCCGGTCCGGCTTTTCATTAAAATGCCTTAGAAAACCGGACCAACCCGGACCAGTTTATATCCGGTTCGGTTTCCGGTTTTCCAGTTTGGACCGGCTCTTGAGCCCAATTATTTTTTTGTTGTTGAATTTTTAGAAATTTAAGCCCAACTGATTTTTTAAAAACTTTTGGGCTTACAAATTCATAGCCCAATTCCCATCCAATCATCCAAAACAAAATCTAGCAAACATTAAATTTAAAATTACAACCCAATTACAAAACAAAAACACATATATCAAATAAAATTACAAATAAAATTACAGATAAAATTACAGAACATTCAAACTATTCCATCTTCTAGTGAAAACAAAAACCAAAAAATGCTCCATCTTCCCCTTGTTCTTTCCCCTTGGCAACACGAAGAGGCATCTTCTTCAAACCTTCTCTATTAAGATCCTCTCCCAGACCCTGCATGCAGAAAAAGAGAATTCTTGGTGAAAATTTAAAATTACAACATTCGATTTTATAACATCAGATTTGACCTTTGATGAATTCTTGGTGAAAAACCACCTCAGTCTCAAATTCAAGAGCAATAATGCAAAGAATAGAACAAGATGGCAAGAAGTCCATTAGGATCAACAGTGCATCATAAGTATGAGATCGTGATTATCAAAAACAATATTACACAAGGAAAATTAGGAGGAGAATTCACCTTGCTGTTCATAATATTTGTTTAGAAAATTTATGCAAGTCAAACATAAATTCTTTTGAAATTATATATTCAATAAACCTCTAAGAAATTAATTAATGACAAGAGAAGGATTAAAACCCACAACAACTTGAGAGAAACATTTTTAGGCCTACAACTGTTACTTACACAGAGACATACCCCAGAAAATAAAAATAAATTTTAAAAAGATTTTACCCGATCTCTTCCTTGTTTACCACAGCAGTCTCCATGAATTGGTATAGATCTAATCTGATCCAAGTGAAACCATGAGATAGATATTAACTGAAAGACAAACCGCAGAAAGAGGAAGAAGAGAGAGAGAGAGAGAGAGAGAGAAAGAGAGAAGAAAGAGAGAAATGGAAGAAGAAAGAGACAAAATAAAAGAGAGAAGCGGCGGAGAGAAGTAAAGATGAGGGAGAGAGGAAGGAAAGAAAAGAAAAAGTGGCTTTAGGGTTAGGTGTTGGTTGATGGGCTTTGGTTGTTGGGCTTAGGTAAGGTTAGATGTTGGTAGTTGGGCTTGGGAAGTGAGAAAAATCATGGGATTAGTAGTTGGGCCACCAAAATATATTCATTTTTTTTATTTTTATATTTAATTCCGGTCCGGTTTGGCCCGGTTCGGTTTTTATAGATGTCAAACCGGAACTGGAACCGGTCAGAACCGGTCCGGTTCGGTTTTTGGTCAACTCAACCCGGTTTTTGGTCAACTCGGTTTTTTCCGGTTTTTTTTCGGTCCGATTCGGCTCGGTTTTCCGGTTTCCCGGTTTAAATGCCCACCCCTAGAAGAAAAGGAAAGGTTACCAGAATGAGTGATGGGGAGGGTGTCACCATTACCAACAACAACCTGATCCGAAGCAGCATACGGAGTGCCGGAGTGGAATGTCGGCGCATCATGGGTCATGTGATTGGTGGCACCGGAGTCCAAATACCAGTTAGGATCGGAAGTGGACGCAACATGCATGCCAGCGAAAGCACGAGGATAAGGGCACTTGGCTTGAACATGACCAAGTTGCTAGCAATTCCAGCATTGAATTGACTGGCGAGAGGGTGGATGACCCAAAAGACCTTGAGAGAAGGAGGAAGGACGTGGAGCACGGTGAGAAGGCTGGCCCGGGCTAGAGAAAAGACGGGCTGAAGACGGACCACCAAGGGGACGAGAGGATTGGTCACGTGGACGAGGGTGGCGGGGGCCACGGGGGAAGCGAGCAGCTACAAAAGCAGCAGGGGAAGCCACATGAGCCATCTGAGCCGCTAAGGCCTATTGCCCTTCAAAAGCAAGAAGGCGAGTGCGGAGGTCCGAGAAGGATGGAAGTGGTGGGAAATTCAAAATTGCCGTCACAATCATTTGGTAGTCAATACCCAGACCACGAAGTACATAAGTAACCAGGTCAGAGTTGGAGACAGGGTCCTGGATTGCAGTGTGTTCATCAGCCAAACTCTTGGCCTGAGCAAGGTATTCAGAGATGGATCTGGAACCTTTGGTAATAGAGAAGAGGCGAAATTTGAGCTGGGCAGAATTGGCAAGGGATTGTTGGGAGAAATTTTGTTTGAGACAATCCCAAATTTCCTTCGAGGTGGAGAACCCAATAACTTGGGAAAGAACACTCTCAGACAGCGTAGCACGAAGAATACTAATCAGGCTTTGGTCAGTTTGAAACCAAGAGACATAGTCAGGATTGGCCAACGACAGAGTGGAGCATTTAGACTTTTCAGAAGGAGGAAGTGTAGGGGAGGGGCAAGGATGAGAGCCATCAACAAAGTGCCAAAGATTCTGGCCGAGTAAGAAAGGTTTGACCTGACTTTCCCATACAAGATAGTTGGTATCAGATAGTTTGACAGAGACAAGGTGAGAGATATTGGGAATGGAGATAGTGGGAACACTGCTTGAAGCCATCGAAAGAAAGAAAAAGAAGGAAAGGAAAAAAAAAAAAACATTTAGGCTCTGGATACCATGTAGAAACATAGTTTTCTATATTATCAAAACTGATATTACAATCTCTTTATACACATGAACATAAACGTAAACCTATCAGTTACTACAATCTAATAATAGTATAACAGCTGCCATATCAGTTACTACAATATAATAATAATAGCATAATAGCTGCAAGCAATTATATGCTGTCATAATTAGGATAACGGCCTAACAATGCTGATATCAAAAAAGCCTTTGTTGAGCAATTGCTTAATGAAAATGCTTGAAGGAGGCAACATATGATATATTGGAAACGCCACAAGTGCATCTCTCACCTTAGAAACACCACAAGTATCTGCTATAGCTTTTGTTTTTGTTGCTTTATTAGTCTCAGTTTGGAATTGTGGATGTTTATTTATATATGTTATTTAGTGGGTTTTGGTTTATTATTATTATTGTTAGTCTGTGCGCTTGTGGAAAGTAATATGTGAACGTCAATTTGTAATTTCAAGCCATATGGATGACGCATATATATAAAATATCTAACTTTTGCATCTATAAATATTGTATGAGTTTTGCTTTATATGATGTTGGGATGGTTTGGAGCTTGTCTCACCACCATGTTTGAACAAAGAAAATAAGAATAAAAGGGTAGAGGTCATGTTGCTAATCGCATGTTGTGTTTGCACACAGACATTTGGTTTTGCAAACACAACATGCAATTGCAATCATAGTTTGCAAAAACCAAATGTCTGTGTGCAAACACAACATGCGATTAGCAACATGACCTCTACTTAGTGACGGTTTGGCAATTTACATTAAGGAAGTTGAACTTTCACATTTTGGAAATGTTCTTAAAATATAGGCAAGTTTTGGAAAATTTAATACCAATTTTTTGTCTTGGAATTATGGTAAAAATAGTTGATAATTAAAATATTATCTCTTCAAAGAAAATTTTAATTTTTTTATTTTGGTCCCAGTCCGAGTATAAACCAAACACATGATAGTACTATTTTTGTTATCCAGCTTCTTAGTCCGATGCAGCACCAAATATAGATCAATACTTAATTCAGCTTAGACCAAATCAAGCCAATCCAAGACAGTCCCAAGATTTAATCCAGTCTATAATAATCCGCCGTACCAAACAGGGCCTTAAAAGACAAGTGTAGCTGTTTGCAGAAAATGTAATGCTAGAGGGACCATCTTTTTTGTACTAAAGCAGCCTATGAGACGCACGACAAGACTTGACCTCCGACACCAAGGGCAAACCTTATCCAACCATTAAATTTGATCGCATCACTTAACATATGAATGGGCCCCACCAATGTCCCGGGCTCGAGGGTGGTTTTGTACCGAGACAGCTACTTAGGGCAACAACTCGTTTGTCTCACGCGCTTGTCGGTCGCATGAGTGGACTGGGACGGTAGTTCTCAGTGCTGTATGTATGTACCTGGTTTCTCAGTTCACGAAGATATACAGTAGAGCCTTTATATTTGGTTCAGAGGGGCAGGTGTGGATACGTGTCCAGCTTCTGACCGTCGATTGCATGCATCATAGGACAAGTGATGGGCTTTTTCAAACAAAAATGGTACCTTTTTCTCTTTAGTTTTTTCATAATCATTCATTACTAGTACTTAATATTATAAAATAATTGATTTTCAAGCTTAATAATTGGATTTTAGTTGGTATTGAGTATTGGATTTTCGTTGGTTGGTACCATCTTTTTACTTCTGTGTGTCCAATGACATTCTTTCTGGTACAATCTTGAACGTTGTGGTTATCTTCCTTTTTACTTTTTATTTTTTATTTTCGGGTGCAATGCAATGGTTTATCTTCTTGATATTTGTATAGGCTCTGTGTGTGGTGGAAGCCGTTTAAGTTATTTTAACCCTCGGTCTGCTCGAGGGATTCACTTTTTTCTTTTTTCTTCACTATTCTTGGCTTTTTAAGGCTCTTGAATTGCCTACTTTGATGTCTCTCTCTCTCTCTCTCTCTCTCTCTCCCTCTCAGCTTCTTCCTTGAAAGTGATATTTCTTTCCTTTGCATGTTACTATTTTTTTTTTTCATTTTCTGGGTTGGTGTGGGATTATCTTCTGTCTACCTTGTAGGGTTTGGATAAGGCAACTGATGCCTCAGATGTTTCTAGTTGCTTGACTTCTTTGAGTTTTCTTGTACTTAAGTTTGAGTTTTCTTGTTCTTAAGTTTGAGTTTGTTTGTCTTTTCTTGCATTTTCTTCTTCTTCTTCTTCTTCTTGTTTTTTGAGCTTTGGGTTTCTTTAAAAGCAGAACTCTTCATCATGCACCATTTAGTTGAAAAAGTTTGAAAAAACAGAAGAGAAATTCAAATTATACTCCTTTTGTTATGTTTTCTAACGATTGAGATTCAGTTTAGATGTGACAGGAACCCTTATGTGGAAGATTTCTCCTTTTCTTTACAGCAGATTCAATCTGTAACATTTAAGGTTGAAGGTTTGTGGCTTGACTATTTTCTTAGACTCTTTGTGAAACAATCTATGATTTGAAGTCTGAGTTTGACTTGCAAAGCAGTTTGAGCAAGTAAGATAACATAAAATTTAGTGGAACTTTTTATTCTTGGGTACTAGATTTGATGGAACTTCCTTTGCTTTCGAGATGGACAAGATCCTTGATCACTCACTTATATATAATTACTCTCTGATTTTTCAACATCTTTTCTACATTTTATTGGCTGTTAAATTCCTCTTGAAGCTTTTCTACTTCTAGAGTGTTATATATATATATATATTGTTGAGAGATCTAAAGTAGAAAGTTTTAAGTCTAGTATTGGAGGTTAAATATAAAAGATGTCTTGGGGTTCTAGAAAATTTCCTTATCATGAAGCTCAAGTTAAGGTTTCTGATAGTATTTTGCATGTGATACTGTGTGCGCTCAATTTTATGTTGTATGTTTTGTTCTCTAGTAGATCATTATTGATCTGTAATTTCTAATTGTAGAGTAGGTCTTAATTCTCCTTAGTTCAAGGTTATATTAGGTTTCGATCTCTGTGGGTGACACTGCTGTTGTCTTGTGGCTTTATCTTTGTATTCCCTTTTCTTTTCTTTCATTTTCCCCAAAATTTATTTGCGTCTTACATGATTTATGTGTACAAATTCCCATGTCAGATTTCATGACAATTGCTGTGGTTGTTAAAACGGATTGCTTTAATTTCAGTTACTGATGTATGAGCTGAGCTATGATTGACGTTGTTTGACGACGAGAGAGAGCACGCTTGTCGGCACCCATGAAAGGGCCATGGATGTTTACGGGCGTGCTCTTTCTTGTTGTCATACAGTCTATCTGCTGGTTCGGACCTTTGGAATTTGATCAACCTGCAGGTGATTAATTTTGATATCTAAGTACTGCTAGAATGATGCATATGATTTACTTGTTTTTACTTCGATTTTTTTTTTGTAGCTTTGCTGCAGAATCATTTGTATGAGCTTAACTGAATTGCATAGTTTGAAAGATTCATAATTAATTAATTAATGTGCTCATTTTGGGAAATCTAATAGAACTTCAATATAAGTGACAATTGCACATAAATTTATCATGTCCTTCAACCAAGTTTGTTCAATGGTTGTAATGTAATTGCATAGTGGGTAAATAGTAGGCTGTGCCGTGCCTGATGCAGGTGTTATTTGCTGTTTAAAAAAAAATTCATGTCTTCTTTACCATTTGAGTATTCAAAATTTGATGTAGTTAAAGTATATATTTCAGTCTATTATTATTGAGATATTTCCTTGACATTGTAGATAGGGATGACAATGGCGGAGCCACTCCTAGGCCTGGATTGGCCTTGGCCTCCCCATATTTTGATCTCTCCTCTACTATATTATATAGAATATATAGAATTTGTAATAAACAACTTATAATTTAAGTTATAGTTCCTCTAAAACAAATTAGACATGACTAAATTATAAATATTTAGCTCTCAACATGTAATTATTGAATACTTAGGTGTTTTATATACTTGCATTTTCTACTTCGGCCCCCCTAACTATACAATTCTAGCTCCGTATGGACTGGCGGTGGAGTAAGGTGACTTCCATGGTACCCCTTCTTCGTCTCCGTTTAAGCTGGAATTTAGAACATGTCCCGTTATTCTTGATTATATGATCAGAAAGTACATATCATTATCATGCTTCTGCACTACACATTTAGAAGCAAAAGAAATAAAACCAACACCCTAATAAAATACAATGACCATAGGCAAGACCCCAAATCAAGTGAAGTAAAGACAAGAAGAAGAGGCAGAAGTAGAAGAAAGGAAAAGAGAGTTAATTTTTGAAAAAGAAGGGTTTTGTTATCTTATGTAGTGTGCAAATGGAATGGGACAAATCTGAATACTTGCTTTCTTTGCACTCAGTGTTATCTTCTCACATTTATTTATTTTTAAAATTTAAATTTTGCCATTTAGCTTTATTTAACTTCTTTTTCTTAAGATTAATAAAATAGAAAAATATATTAAACAAAGGGTCAGACATGTCCATTGTGCCACAGCATTGCAGTGGGTGCAGGACAGCCATGGTGATTTGGCCATTATAGCATGATCATCAATATGGTTGGGGGAGTTGAGTAGGGTGCAGGGAAAAAACAAGATTCCAACAAGATTATCAATGTTGTTGCATTATAGCAAATAATCTTTCATTCTTAGGTTGCAGTTTTTGGTTTTCTATCATCTTTTACTTTACCATTTGACATGTGTCTTTGTATGTTTGCCAAATACTGGAATTGTGTTCTTTTGCATTATACTCCTTAAATGAATTCAGTTCAGTTTTATTTTCATAGGTATAGTGAAATAGTGATAATAATCTATATCCGAGAGATCCAAAATTGTTGAAATGATTAGAAACATAAAACATTAGTTATGCCTTTCAAGACAATTTCATTTTCAAGCTTTTTGGATTTGTTGAACTTTGATTGTATTGATATTTTAGTATCGGCTACAAAAACAAAAATTAG